GAGGTTCTCTATTCCACTGTATGTTCTTTTTTCTTTTTTTTTGTATGCATGTTATGCGATAACTCCGGTATTTGTGAACTGATTTTCATGATTCTTTTTTTGTTGGAAAGGGGGTACTTCCATAGTGGTCCCATTTTATTTTGAAGAGAATCATCTACCTCGAAGGGGGCCGTTCACGCATGAAGATTCATTTTCATAAATAGCGCCTAACATTAATTTAGGAGCAATTACTTTAATGGTTGATTTTGGTATTTCTCCAATTCAAGGCGTTTTTCTCTCAATATACTTTGAGTAGTGAGAACCGATTTTTATTATCTCCAGTGTCAAGTCCTGTATAGTAGCGAACTAGGGGATATTTCAATAAAACTTAGCAAACAGACGTAATTCCACGTACTTTTGATGTCGGTTTTTTTAGTACTCTGTACTGCGATTATGTTTATCTTCATCATTAAAGGTTCCATTTTGTTAAAATTCTCATCTGCAACGATGCAAGTGTAATTAACTATCACTGAGTATCAGCTAACGAATTTGTACAAAAAATGTAAGCCGCTACCAACGAACATTAAAATGTTTAGGAGAGCGCTGAGTGTACAGCTTGAGGAGTAAGTTTTTACAGAATTACTGATTTCTCAAATAATTATTGACATAAATATTGATTTTTGACACTGTAATGTTTAAGTAGTTGCCATGAATAGTTATTATATTATTATTTGTTATAGTAGAGCTCCTTGTGAATTGTGAGTTCGTCCAGGGAAGTACTGCCACTTTACCATTTCTAATGCCAAACAGTAATGCAAGCATTACATTACTACATATCACAAAAAAATTTCATTATTATTTATTGACTAATTATTTGTACACAATGCCAAAGAAAACCCAAATTTCTAAAGTTTCTGTACAAAAAATAAATGTATTTAATTTTTTCCTTGGTGTTGTTAACTAAAATTATTTTGGGGCAAGTTTGACGCCACATACATTAAAAATGTACCTAATTTATTTATTATATATTTATTTATTTTAGTATAAATAATATTTTACTATTATACTTCATTTGTGTCTTTACGACTAATATACAGAAATTCTACGAAAACCTTACTGTGTTTGATTAATATAATAAAATAATTAAAATTAATATGAGTCATTAATAATAAAACTGATGAATCATAGTAATAATTCTTTTCTTGTTTATTGTTCGATTTTTATTTCAGTATCTCTGTTTGCCTTTGTACTTCAATTCGATATCGTACAATCTCTCGATAAGTCGCTAAGACGGATAATATAAAAACAATATATTATTAAGGAGTGCCCAACGTCCATGAGGTTGATTTTTTATTGTCTAACTAGGCACTTACTAATTTTCAATAGCAACGTAACACAACAATTAAATTATATTTATTTTTTATTAATAATTACATTTCTTTTTTAATAGTTACGTCCTACAATTGTTACCACTTACCATATTAATATATAGTACATAATATCACATAGATAAATTATGAACATTGATTGGGAACGAACTGTCTCCCAAAACACAGGTTCGCCTATAGTCTGTCTTTTTTTGAAGACGGAGAAAAATAGCAGTTCATTGTGCAAAAGTGTTGTCCGCTTACGAGCAGCTAGTGATTGCAGTTGATAAATATTCTATCGACTATGGACTGAATATTGGTCACGCTTGTGAAATAGCCGAACTTGTTTCATTAGAATCATCCTCGACGTCCTATTACTGAGCCCAAGTTCATTTGAATTGTCAAATTTTGTAAGTCCATACATACATACACAGTATCTAGAACCATGTTTATGAAAAATATAAAGTGGAGACATATTTTAAATGTTTTCATTTTAATTCCATATACATACTCATATCCGCTTGATCATGTTAAAATGTATGTGAATAAAAATTGATCTCAATACTAGTAGGTCAACTGTCAAAATAAGAATAAAGAAAGCAATAGCGCAATTAGTACCCAATCATTAGACAGTCATAACGTAACGTTCACAAGTCAGTAATTTTTGGCAAAATTTTATTTTCTTTCATAATCTATAAATAAAACTATCGCCAACAACTACATAACTATTTAAAAGTTGATGGAAACTGGCAAACCTACAAACGTCATTTTACTCCGTCTTCAAAAAAGATAGAGTATAGTTTGGGAGCTATGGTGATAATGTACGTGCTCTTGTATCAATAAATTTATATTTCATTTCAATTGTTTCATTTTACATCACAGACATATATCCAGGTAGACGCCGCAATTGTACGCACTTCGCGTGCCCAAAGTATGTGAAATTCACTTACTTGCCGCTGCTACACTTCAGAACACGCTCGATCGTTATCGTAGATAAACACCAATGGAAAACGCGAAAAATGCATAATTGTGCCATTATAAACAGCAAAAGCACCATAACGTTGGGTAAACGGGTAAACATGAACGTTTCCTTCCACGGGCAAGAGATTTCGTAATCAGAAAAGGCATAATTTATTTTAAAAACAATTATTTTGGTTTCGTATGAATTTCGAGAAAACAAATATGCAACCGAATGTATGCCCATCATTTGTAATACATTGCGGCGCTTACTTGGTGCGATATATTTGTGATCCTTTGTTAATACGCCATGAATATCGAACGAACGCACTTTTGTATAATGCATTCAGTTTCATGATATGGCCGCTTGCACGTTTCTTTGGCCAAATTTAACATTTAGTGATGTATACATTAGGCGACACTATTCTCGATTTTGAAAACAAAGAGACGAAAATTATTATGACCTTAGCAATATTATAAAAATATTCTATAACTCTTTTGTTATAACGTTTCGTTTTTTTTTCCAGTTTTGTAGTGTCTATTATCAGTAGTATCTGTAATTTCGATAATTTTTGCAGCACGTTGCCTCGAATGTCCGAATATAGTGAGCAAATAATTACATATATCGCCGGATATGTAGTACGAGTAATACAAAAAATATATAATGCAAAGAATTAACAGTGCGCTGTCTTTACAAACATCTGGAGTTGGTCATACGTATGAGTTCGTTGCTTTCGAAGACGAAGGTGGTCTGGTTTATCCCACCTGAGATGCTACAGAGTAGCAGAGTTAGAAATCCGAGAAATAATAAACAAATCACAAAAGTTTCACATGAGGCCGTCATTAAGTAAACCTCTTCTGATTAATAAGGTTTTACCATATTTTGTCAGCAGTAACATTTTCATTTGTCTTGCCATCCATCAATTTGATCAATTACCTACAGAAAACTATCTCTTCATAATCATTATCAGCCCATCGCAATCCACTGCTGGACATAGGCCTCACCCAATGTGCGCCATTTCACCCGGTCCTCAGCTTGTCACATCCATTTCCCGCCAGCAACCTTTCGCAAATCGTCACTCCACCTGGCCAGAGGGCGTCCTACATTACGTTTGCCGAGTCGCGGTCTACACTCTAGAACTCGTTTTCCCCATCGGTTATCGGTTCTTGGACAGATATGGCCAGCCCACTGCCACTTCAGCTTGCTTAAGAAATAAGAAAGAAAACCATCTAGTAAAATTAATTAAGGCAGTCGCAGTTCGTTGCCGTGCGTTTTCATTATTTAAATTAATCGATAAGATCTTCTATTACAAAAACATGTTGTATAATAAACTCATTTTATTGGAAGGACAATAATTTTAATATTTGAGGTCAATTAAAAATTCCATCACTAAATAGTTCTTGTGACGTCATAGTGGGTACAAAAAATTTGGCACGCTTGGGTTTTATACAAATTCCTGTACTTGCGGCGTCTATATATATCTGTGTTTTACATGTATCCATATTCGTCATGATGTTGTTTGCTTGCCTTTTTTAGCATTAAAATAGTGAAAGAAGAACAAACAATTGCTGTCTATTTACCGACTATAGCCAATTGCTATCTTTTACTTACTTCGCACTTACTAGCGAAGTACGCCATTTCTTTGGATCTTGTACCAATTACGACCATTCGGCCACATTTAAAACTCCTCAGTTGATATATTTAGTATGATTTGAGTGTATATTTAGAATTCTGCTAAAAGTTAACATTACTAGCTTCTCAGTGACAAGCCATCGTGCTCCTATTCGACTGCCATTGCTGCATTGTTTGGTAATCTGCTCTTCAATAAGAGCTGTAAAAGCAAAAGTGCAACATTTGGCTGCAATTGAAAACTGTTATAAAACTGAATTTAATATTAACTTAACGAACAAGTGTAATAAATACTAAAGCAAGCCCATGAAAATAAATATGTATTAAATATGTATGTCCAAAAAAGTGAACAACTATTACGGTAAAAGAACAAACAGACATTTCTTGCCAATTATATTTAACAAATTAGATTTCTTGAGAGGCAGATAATTGTTACGTAAATTCACTTTGAAGAAAAAATTAAAATTGATACTTTTTGAAAGCATGTAAATTTAGTTAAATTCTACACTGGTTTTGATAATTGTACTCGTATTCGGTATAAGTACCAGTTTTGTGATTATAACCTCGTCAACAAACGGTTTTCGCAGTTTGGTGAGAAATTGTATTATGTTTTCTTGTACACCGTTTGTATGAAATAAATTTCAGAATGGCGAGTTGATTTAACATAAAAAAATATTTATTTCAAATAAAAATAAGTCTTTAAAGACTAAATTGCTGATTAAACGAGATATAAAATCGGTTTATGGAAAATGGGAGAAATCCAATAAACCTGATTCATCCTTCAACCTCAATTCAACCTTAGAGGTATATAATATTTTGGTAAAATTTAAATATGATCACTACTCTGAGGTATCCCATTTCCAATAAAGAACGAATCATCGTAATCGGTTCTAGAATGGATCCTTTTTTTAAATGCCAAGTGACGGGATACCAAGTGAGTGGGCCTGGTGGTAAGCGACACGCGTGTCCATAACAGTTACAGCGCCACTCAAAGCTTTAAAACGCAGAGATCGAAGGGGCACTGCCACTGCGCCCGTCACCTTGAGACATAAGTTGATAAGTTCCATGTGCTGTAATTTCACCAAAACGTACAACATTCGCGTAACATACACAAAAAAAATGCAGTCGAATCCTCCTCCTTTTTCGAAGTCGGTAAAAAATGACAAAATTTTATTAAACATTTATTACGAATATAATAAACCGATCGGCGTTATTAGATTAGCTAATCCACCTGAAGCTGTCGGAAAGACCCTTCAAGTCCAAACATGTCTTCAGCTGTTTTTGGTTTTCCTGGCCTTTTGGATTCGTCTGTACCATACTTCTCATCTTCTTCCAACCATGAACTGTATTCTTGAACCTTTTTCTTCCAGTGGTCTGCAAATAAAATATATACAGTGCATTGTTTGGCGAAAATGTACCTTACCTGGACATACCAGTCTTTTAATTCAAATTAGTTCACTACTTGTGAAAATATTAGAAAATGGTTACAAGGTAGATCGAAGGTTAGCTGATTTCATTATCAAAATAATAAATTCAAGATTTAAATTATTAATTTCACATGAAATATTGTTTTATAATATTGTTAAATAGAACAATACACGCAGATTTCTCAACATAACAAGTCCTGATAGCCAAAACCAGTAAAGCTCGATACAGACGGTAGGTAGGTAAGGATTGTATGAGAAATTCCTATTTCGAAGTTTGAAGTAAAGGCCAGGTTAACAAACTTGATCCTGAAGTTAAGTTATCGAGTTCCTAGGTTTTCGCGATTATTACACAGAAATGAATTTATTTCTCCAGATTTTGTTTGTTTGAAAAAACAAAAATACGCGATTTAGAGCCGGAAAAATAGTTTCATTTCCTAAGTTTTTCAAAGATGCCCCGAAAACCAAAATGAAACGTTTCATTACAATTTATTTGGGACAATCGTATCTCGGGTTTATTGACTTAAATCCAAGCATCACTATAGGTCCAAATACATTGTGAAACACGTGTTTTATGGATATTTAAGTTAAAATTGTTGTATGGGAAAGTCGTATTTCTAGAGTTGATTAAATTACACCTATTTATGAGTATTAAGCTACACAACCAACACGTAGAAATTCAGTTCGGTAAGTATAAAACATACAAAACCTTTCGAATGTTGCTTTAGTACCCCGGCTCGGTACGCGACATTTACATAGAGCATAAAGTATTGGATAGACATTTTCACATATACACACTTTTTAACATTTATCTAATTGTAAAATTTACTGAGTACATTTATTTCACAGTAATACATTTATACTGCACAACGCTACTGCACAAATTTGCTGGTGTGTGAAAACTTGCCATGATCAAGATTTTGTAGGAAGCAGTCACAATTTTTTTAAACATTTTAAACGTCCTAAATGTACTGATAATCCACGGCTATACAATACCGAGGGAAAGTATATTAAATACCATAGATAGGCTATTTTGCTTAATGGAGACATTACTTAATTAGTAAAAGTAAGTCATATTGCATTGAAAGATTTTTAAAAAATTGCTTGCCTCACTCCGAACTGAAAATATGACAAAAAATCCTGTAATTTTATGACGCCAGTCGAGAGAGTCAATCATAAGAAGTAACTCCTTTTAAGTAGCATAGTATCTTAAATTAAAGGAACACCGTTAAATTTCTTGTAGGTATATTGCCACGTAGAGAAAATAATTGTACAGTAAATAGTCTTTCAACTATTGTCACGTTTCATAAATTACACACCAATAAATCGTTATAACACTGTGGATTGGCACATTGTCGATATTGTACATAATTATATGTTATTTTTAAGTAAGTTTTTCTTTTTGTTATTTTTTGTGTTTTACTCTCGTTTAACTAAATTCTTGTTAATCGTACTTGCTTTGCTTCCCAAAACGTAGCTTAGTGTGGGGATCATAGTTCAAATATGTAATTGTAAGTTACGGTAAATACATTTTTATTATTATATTTTTGTAAGTGATGTGGGAGTGGGAGTTCATCAAGGCTCGGCACTGAGCCCTTTGCTTTTCAATCTCTTAATGAACCACTCACTTCACGGCAGCTTCGCTGATAACAAGGATTCCAATGTATTGCAATACTTGAAAAATGGAGAGGAGCACTCGAAAGAGCCGGATTATGAGTAAGTAGAGAAGACCGAACATATGCATTGCAATTTCAGCGGCACTAGTAACAGAAGCACTCTCTAATTCAAAACACCCCACTTAAACAAGTCGACCATTCCAAATACCTCGTTCAATCATCTGTAATGATAGGACAATAGACGCAGACGTTACCCATCGTAAAAACACGGGATGTATCAAATGAGCACACCAGAGAGAGCTCTCAGGCGTGCTCTACGATAAACGAATGCTGGTTCGTACTAAGGGCAGAGTATACAAAGCAGCAGTACGACCAGCCATAATGTACGGTGCTGAATGTTGACCTCACAATAAAAGCTACAAGAAAATAGAACACACAGCGCGGAAATGCTAAGATGGGCGAGCGGCGTTACAAGATTAGACCACGACCACGTCAAAAACATCCACATCAAAGGCAGTTTTAAGGTGAGGCCTATCCCGGAAAAGTTGCTAGAGAGCCGATATTATGCGACGACCAGATGACAAGGAAAGTCCTTGAGATAAATAGCCAGCCCAAGAGACGTGGTAGATCCAGCCTCACATGGATATGCCTTATTAATAAAGATCAAGAAGACAAACCGTCTTGGAGAAGTGTGACCAGAAGGGCCGACCCCAAATAAGTGGGAATAAGGCCAGACAAAATAAGTTGATATTTCTGTAAGTGAGTGTAAGTGTAAGTGATATAGAACAACGTACCAACTATTACGTCTTTAATTTCTTTTGTTTCATCGCAGAACGTAAAGGCACGACATTTGGAAATACAAAATCTTAATAGTGACGTCATTGCTCTACAATATATCAAAATATTGAATCTCTAGCGACACGCAGTATTAAAATTTCACAGGATAAGTAAGCAGTAATCACACATACCAATGACCGCTGGCATTCCGCGCAACGTCGTCGGCGGGAGGTTTATAGACGTCAACGTTTAGTGACGTCAGTGTCATTATTTGTTATATTCAGTTAATAGCCTATAGAAGAACCGTTTATAAACGTTTGCATTAATGTTTAACAAAAATATCTGCGAAAAATATCAATCACCAAAAGAACAGTGCTCGCGCGAATTTGTTTATTAAAATTCGCACACACTTACATATTATTTATCTACCAGCGAAACAACTTGTTTATTGTTCTCACTTTTTCACATGTGTTGTTTTAATGAGATAGTATTTACAACATTTTTGCTGTACCTACCTACAATCTCTTTTATAGTACCACCGTTTCCTCCGTATTCAGCGGGCAATATGTCCTTTGGTATGTATTTGTACATTTCTTCATAGTTTTTATTGTGAACGTATAACTGTAACAATTATTTAAAATATTAAACACATATTTAGTCCGTTCACTCTTGTAATGCTTATTTCAATAAAAGAAATAACATTAATAAAATACCAAAAATGTATGAAGTGCAAAATGAGTGCAAATTTAAATTCGAAATGTGACTTTTGCATGTTTGTCTCTCATAGGATGTTATTTGACTTATTTGAGAGATTGAGATAGATATATTTGTATGTAAGACTTTTGGCGAAATTAATAATATTTATAGATTATATACCTACAATTAAGAACAAAACTTACTCTACTCTGATTTTTCTTATTTAAAAGCCCTTTGATTGCATTGAAAACGGTTTCAAATCCTGTCGGTGTATTCAAGTAGTGGATACCTTTCACTCGGAATGGGAGTGCGTCCTGAAAATAAAAAAGTTAAAAAGGTTATTACATTCATTTGCTGACAAAATTTAGTAGCAGTAGAGCTCCTTGTGAAAGAGTCTAGGGAAGTACTGCCACCTTACCTATTTCAGCCGCCAAACGGTAATGTGAGCATTACTGCGTTCCGGTTTTGAAGGTTAAGGGTGCTGGTAAAATTACAGTGATAGTGCCCCTCAAATCTTTGCGATTTAAAGCTCTGAGTGGTACTGCGTCTGTTATGGACAGGCGTGTAAATTACCATCAGGCGCCCGAATTATTCGTCCCTTAATTTTGTACACTTTGTGTTTTATGAAAATTAGATAACATTTTAAGGATATTTTCTTCACTTTCAGGTAATGCAAAAGTGTAAAGCCGGGTACTCACTATAGATATAACTGTAACCGTTACATGTCATGTTATCAAAAATCATAGTGTACGTGGTACGCGAGCTTGCAGCGAACAAAAAGATTTACTTTATTTTCTTGTAACAAAAAGATTAACTCGATAAACAGATAATTGGACATTTATTAAAATAAGGCTTTCCGATGATCTTCCTTTCGGCTATCATTTTTACACTCCAAAACAGCACATTAAGGCATATTTCTAGGAATTTAAAGAATTTGCATTTTGCGAAAGATTGACATAACCATACCATACAAAGCGAAAATGGCAGACTGAGCTCAGATAGGTCTTTTGAGACCTATAGCTAGCACGCGTCAGACGCTAATTAACCACAACTACTGTATTTATTGTTCTGTGATCTATACAATCGATTTTTCCGCTAACTTCAAGTTAAAGAAGACAGCCTTCTTGTTACTCAAAATTTGACCGGTTATAAACAGATGTTATGTATGCACCAACCTGTGAAGTGACAACCATTTTCTTCATGACGGAAGGTGTCATCTGCATGAAGTGCGGAATAGTCACTTCGTCCAAATCGAGAATAGACTGAGTTCCTGTTACAATCACGTTGTCGTCCTCCAGCATTAATATCTATGAAAAAAACATTCTTGAAATAAGTGGGACTATACATTTATAAAAAATAAAAAATTATACATTATATTATTGACTTAGAGCATGACGCCGACATTATTATGTGATGCTTTGTGATCGACACCATACACAAAATATTTTCGGAATTGGAACTCTATAGCCAGAAGTGATATAATGATTCACTGAAGATCAAGCTTAATGTCTATAAAATATAATGGATTGAAGAGTAGGCGTGTGCCTATCTACCTAAAACTAGCAAAAGAGAAATTCACCCAGACTTCGCTGTATGATGTTTAAACCTTTGCCTTTTCGCAGCTATGTGCATGTTTCCTCTCGATGTTTTTCTACACCGATAAGCTTAAGATACATTTCAAATTAAAATTTGCCTGTTCCAAATTTAAAAAACAACAACTAAGTTTGTGGTAAAGTCGTACAATCGCGGCCTATAAATTCTACCTAGGTACATCAATTAGATCTTAGTCGATTCTAGTCCTTATGCATAAATTAAATTTTGTAAATCTAGTAATCACCAATAGAAAAATGTGTACGTATACCCACTTTTTCAAGAACATTGGACACGGAAATAATATCTGTGATGGGAAATTTATCAGGATCGTAGGTTCCAGGTCGTATCATCGCCACTTGTGGTGTGTAGGATGGTTCAGCGCCTGGTTTAAAATTTGGCAAAATGAGATAAGTCCTGAAAAGTAAATAAAGGTACTTAGTAATCAGACAAATTAAAAGTATGTCGTACATATTTTCCATACGATTTGCTAACTGCCAATCATAATAACCTATAGAGATTCGTCACTTTGTCTTTTTAAGACTAATGCAGTCGTTACCGATTAGGTATTCACATTTAGCAGGCCAGTGTTTACTCTAGGTCTACCTACCCCAGTTCCATGATTTCAAAAAACTTCGGGTCTGTATGTTTGATCCTGTAAAACTCAGGCGCTGTGGTCCTGCAGGAATAATATAGATCGATCTTTTCCTTGGTTCTTTCTAGACTGAATTTGCAACCTCGCAGAAATGCTAATAGCCATTGATCGTCTGAAAGAGTACACTAAAGTTTGTATGTTTCACGTAACTTTTTACACGTATAATTAATTGTGTGGTAGACACTATAGGGTCGCATATCAGTCTCTCATATCTTTTTGTGCTCATGACGTCTGTTGGCCATAACCTCAAAAATTATTTTCATTAATAATTCATCAGATAAAAATTAAAATATCTAAACGGTGATAACACTGTGCGCTAACAAACGCTACGCTTGTACATTTGAACTTTACTACCAATATTACAGATCTAAAAAGTGTCAGATAGTACAACAAAAACTTAAAAGATTATTTTTGGCAAATTTATAATGTTTCGTAAGAAGTCATGGTAAAAAGTTGTATATGATGCTTGTGATAAGTATAGTGCTGCGAAGTTGTTAGTGTTTTACAAATAACCGTGCACTTATAGACTAAAGTTCGGATATTTCTCAATAACTTTACACATAACTGATTGCGAAGTAACTAGATATTACTTATAGATATTGTATATCGGTCTCTAATCTTCTTCCGCTCACGTCAGATGGCCATAACCGCAAGTTTATACATAGAATTTAAATTGAAAACAATATTGTCTTTGTAATTTTTAAGTTTTTATTTCACCACGATATTCAATTATTTTTGCGAAATTACTCCACTAGATCGTTATAATTATTAATACAAAGATCGAACACTAAGAAAAAATTCCTTCGATCCGGCTGGATTCGAACCAGCGACTTCCAGCAAACTATAATAATCATTTGTCGCTTATCGGCTGGTAGAATATAGTAGTCTGTATTTGAATTATCGTATTTACGAGTATACTCTTGATAACAAACAACTTTTCAGAACCAAGTTATTAACTAATCAACGAAAATTTTATCTGAATGGCTAAGATATAGGGTTTGATACTTGAAGTCAAATTTTACCACATAATTGAATTTCATTTATAACATGATACCGTAAAACTAAAATGATTCTTTAGTAATGGTTTTGTAACATAAGCTATAAACTATGAATATTGAAACCAGTTTATTAATCCTTTCTAAATCCTTATCATATTTGTTTTATTCTACAATGATAGATAGTATGTGTTCTAGATAAGCACTTAGGGTATAGGTATAGTAAAGTGAAAATGTACTTATTGTGCTTATTATTTTGTAGTTATGGGAAATTGTATAGATGGTTTATTGTACTAGATAATAATCACAATAATTTTATTCTCCAAATGTGTACAAAAACACTTATCGCAGTAATCGTGAAAACTGTAAAATAATATGTTTTGTATCTTGAAAATTGCATGCTAACAACTTATCGAAAGATTACAGAACGAACTAACAGGTTGGGTTTTTTAAAAATCAATCTTTTTATTATTAATTATAGTTGCTATATATCCGTAGCTGTATCAGGTACATTCGCGCAGCGTTTCTTCATCTCTTCGACACAATAATAAGGGAGTCATCACACTTACTGACGCGGAATCTCATTAAACCGGTTCGAAGTAGGCGTAATATCCATGCAATAAGAGCTAATATCAAGTGACAGGACGAGTGGTACCCAACACGCCGCCTGTCCGTAAGAGCCTATGTACACGATATATTTTATACCTTAAGCGTTGCATCTTTTTCATATTAGAGATTGCTATGAAAAAGCTTAGTCTTTATTTCTCTTATCTTAAAAAACATAAACTCACCGGTCCTGGCGCGAAGATGCGGTTGCTTAGCTATCCAATCTTTAATACTTTGCAAGTCATCTTTCAATCTTTTTGGATCTTCGTTTAATTCATTCTTTGCTCTTTCAGCTAACACCGGTGGTAACGGACGTATAGACATTATTTCACAGTATAGTAAAATAATGAATAGTGAAAGATATTATTAATTATGTTTTTATAAAGGAACTGTACAGTCAACGGCTCAAATAATGAATACAATATAATATTGTACAGTGTTATCGGGAAATTATCACAGATTAGTTATCTTTGAGAGCAACAAGATAAAGGGACCGTTTTATACAATATATTATAAAATGCAACCCACGATGGACTTGTACTTTGTAAACGTAAAAATTGTTGTCACTCTAATTCTGTATCAAAACTAAAACATAACAAACAAAAAATTTTACGCGCCACACAGTAGCACAATGTTTTCTTTATAGAGAGGTAGCGATAGTCATTAACATTATGCTTGCCCAGTAAATGATTGGTAATATCCATAAATACGACGATTTAAGTCTTCTATACTGTAAAAGCAATTGAATAATCTGAGTGTTACGAAGTAATCACATGAATAAAAACCAATATTAATCAAAGAAATCATAGCTGCGGAATGATAGTGATAAATATATAATATTAACCAATACGAATGTACCGTTATTATATTTTTGGTAATAAGGCGAAGACATAATTCATTTATTTGTAGAAATGTAACCTACCTTTAGAAGTTGACAATAACAAAAAAGTATAAGTTTCATCGTGTCCGGCATAATGTTAGGCTACTGTCAACTTTTTTTTTTTACTATGTGTAGGGAAGAATGGCGTCAATAGGACCGTTTTTAAGAAAATTGGTTAGTGTGTGTGCATTTTATACTCCATCTTTTTCGCAATGGGCTCTTATTATAGCTAAATTATCTAGCTATGTGACAGTTTATTGATTTCGCTTCTTACATGCACTTGTCTTAGGCACAATCCATTTAGAAATATCCGGAAAACGTTTCAATTGACCTTGGGTCGAGGTCGATAAAAACGGTGCCTAGGGTTTATTGAAACGAGTTTCCACAAATAAATAATCTCACATTTCATTTCTTTCATTCATAAAAGTTGTAATAGTATTGAAAGTGGTGAGTCATTTTGACGTAATGATGAGTCGTCGACTTGGTGTCTGATTTTTTATTATTATACCATGTGATTGGACGAACAAGTCGTGCGCCTGATGGTAAGCGACACGCTTGTCCGTAAAAGTTGCAGTGCCACTCAGAGATTTAAATCACAAAGATCTGAGGGTCACTACCATTGCACCCGTCACCCTGAGACATAAGTTGACAAGTCCCATGCGCCTGTAATTTCACCAGCACTCCCCCTTTCAAAATGGAACGCAGTAATGCTCACATTACTGCTTGGCGGCAGAAATAGGTAAGGTGGCAGTACTTCCCTAGACGAACTCTTTCACAAGGAGCTCTACTGCTACTTAAATAAAATTTCTAAGAAATACTCGGATAAACCAAAATTACCTAATTGATACTACTGTAGGTATACTAATGTAACCTAATTGTCACCTATGTAAATGCTTTAAAGAACAAAAACTTATTCAAAATATGATACATCACTCGTTGGGTACAGTTACATGGATCACAGGTTAGGCATAAGAAAGGAGAAATTGTAGTATTTTTAATTGTATTTTTTATATAATTACGTAACATAGTTGATAAGATTATTGTTACCAACAAATATGTATGCACTTCTGAAGTAAATGTATTATTATTATTGTGAAGTGTTTTCTTTCTTCTTTATTTCATTTGCAACTTGCTTCCAAGGAAGACAGGAAACGTATAAACAAAAGGTTCCTAAAATAGAAATTTACATCGATTCGGGTGCGTACATATCTGGCAAATGCGATGCATGCTCGATGCGCACGCGCTGCATACACTTTTGCCACTCCACCGCCGTCTGCATCACTGCCACCACGAGTCGTCTGCCGTATTGAAAGACTACTTCACTGAAACTGTGTCCCAGTGCTGCCAGTGCAAATTTTACCAATCCCCTAAAAATCTAGGTCAAATTATTTTCATTATCTCTATGCATCGAATACATTTATGTACTCTATTTATTACTATGTCTCTTTGTCTGGCAGATAAAAAATTCCCAAAGATGGATGACGAAAGCTGACCCGAAATCAACGAAGTGCCGTTTATGGACTTTGCTAGTATAATTTTACGTTTTAGTTTATGCCTAGTTATTCATATATTTTTGTATATTTTTAGAAGTCGGCAACAAAGAAATTGCAAAACAATTGATTCAGTTCGACCATAGATTAGGTAACGTTCTTATACGTACGTTTCAATTTAAGCATGATTGAATGTTTACCTACCTAAAGTATTGGTTATTTTATAGTACACACATAAAACAGTAAAGCTATAAAATACCTAATTAAATAATCAAGTAAACAATAATGACATAAAGTAAAAAATAAAACATAATGTGACAAAAACGTTTAGACAATATTTAAATGAGAAATACGAAAGTAAGCAAAGGAACGTTTTGTCAAGAGGCCTCTTGCCAATGTCACTTATATATATATTATTTTAAGTTATTAAGGCTTTGGCAAAGCCATCAGCCTAAACATGAAGTTTAATTATGTTTCTGTAAATATGGCCGCCACAAAGAGAATAGGCAATTTGAGGCGGCGTGCTTGGATAGACTCGGGATTCCTTAGAACGGGCCGATACGGGTATTTTAGTTCGAGATTCGTATAATTTCGCGTTTTAATCTTTGATTAAGGCACAATAGCACTATCCTATTCCACTTTAAACTAGATTTCACAAAATAATTGAAAGTCAAAACAAAAACGATACTTTTCCCTCCAAAAGGCCCAGAGCGAATCGACACTTTGATCAAGAACAGTGTGACCATTTGTGACAGGCTTGTGCCATTTGGGCAGATTTAATTTTTATTCATTTTCGTTGCGACAGAACATGTTAACGTTGTATTAATTGTGGCAGCGTTTGGCAGGTTTGTTAATATTTTGCAAGTTCTTTATTATTTTTAGGAACAAACTGAAAACTTGTTATTTTCTGCTACTACGAACAAACATCTGAAGCGAAATACGGGACAATGTTATAAACATAACCTATATTAATTTTATAACCGCAGCTTCTATAAGCTAAACTCAATTCACTTTTTTGATGCTTTAATAATGAATCACAAGTATCGATAGGTCTCTTTAATGCACGTCATCAAAAACACTGGATCACAAAATACACGGAATGTCGCCATCCTTCTTTGGGTAGACAGTCTTTTTTGACCAAAACTTCCCGTCATAATTGTTTCGCAAAAAAAACCAGTTTCAATCATAAAAACAGTGATATTTATTCTTTTATTTTTAATCTATCATCATGCCATTCGCAAATGGCAACGCATATAATGAGCAAATAACTAGTTCTATATCTGGGAACACATCGCACACTTCCATGATGTTTCTATTCAAACGAGTGATATGCGATGTTGCAAAAAAATACAACAATAATGTTTATAGTAATTAATGTTTTTTATTAACAACCATCAAATTATCGATTTATCGGTTATGGGTATGTTAATAATGGTAAAATATGAAATCCCACATTATTCAAATCCCCACAAAATCCCCGCAACTTGGGAACTTCATTATAAGTTAGCAATCTTCCCACTGGCGCGACCTTGCTCGGTCGACTGTCGCTTACCGTAGGTCATCAGACGTCTTACTATTTACATCGGGTCGTTTGCCGCTTTCCTTACGCGTTCAATTAAGTGCTCCTCTGTAGGTAAGCAAGCGTAGATGACGCACAAGAACGGGCGAACGTCACGCGAACAGATCGCACTACGTAATGTACGTGTGCAACTCGCGAGCCCTTCGAAAACAGACGCATTCGGAGCGAATTCGCCAGATCTGTACTCACACTTATAATATATAAAAATGTCAAAGTTATGAAATAGAAAAAGCACTGAGCAATTTATCAAATATTTATTACGGATATAAACACTAGCTAATCCACCTGGAGTAATCGGAAAGATCCTTCAACGCCAAACATGTCTTCAGCTGTTTTAGGTTTTCCTGGCCTCAAAGGCTCGTCTGTACCATATTTCTCGTCTTCTTCCAACCATGAACTGTATTCTTGAACCTTTTCCTTCCAACATTCTAGAAAGAAAAATTGTACATTTAATTTATAATATGAAAGTTTTGACGTAATGTGAAAATGCCATTGTCTTTTAAAATTAATTCATTAACTACTCGCCAAAATATAGGAAAATGTTTACACAATAAAAATGTCGAGTACAACCAAGAACAAGTGCATATTGCATTAACTTAAAACTTGGTATGCATAAATCTATTAACTCATAAAAATCTATAAACCCTAATTGATGAACTTACTCTTTCAAAGCAATTGAAAAAATATGTTTCCTTTTTAAAGAATCTAACGAAACGAGTGCTGAAGTTCGACTGCTAACGACGTATTCCTAGGTCTATTATCCTGAAATTCTTAGGTTCTTCAAAAATACTCTTAAAAACGAATGCAGCGTGTTGTTATTTAATCGCAATGAATGGATTGTTCTCTACGTATATTCTGTGTACAGAAGTAATGCAGGTTACATTTATATTCTACGTTAAGCTAATATTAAACTTTCGCGTTATTGTTGTTTCATTTTTTCATACCTAATAAATAGGCATATCTTTACGGTGGTTATTTTGAAAAATATAAATAAAGTATCAAACCACTATGAAGTTTTTTAATATGTGTACAAAGTTTAAAGCACAGGAAATAATTTATTACGTCCCGATTGTTAAAATAATTAAAAATATTCCGTAAAATATTCCGTACTTACTGACGTACGAGGCCAATAAATTTTCTAATTATTGTCGGAGTAATAAACAAGGAAATAGTAACGAAACTCGTAAAGCCTAACAACATTTCTAAACTTCAGAGCGCATCTCCATTATGTCGTGAAGACAGATAGTCGTGCAGTTTAAAGTGTCGCGGCTTGTTTATTTAAATGGAGTTGTTCACACACAGAACAACACGATTAACTGTTCATGACTTTTTTGACGTTACGAGAATAGACTGTTGTGACGATGGGAAGAGCCAGAACGACAGTCGTTCGACGATAAAAATGAGAATACATATAATCGCAGCTTCAAACAATTCTGTCGTGCAAACGACAAAGTGGTTGCCGTAAACTAATCAATTGCCATCACGATCTAGTGGGAACAGCTAGACACGACACTCGTTCAACGATAAAATAAACGTCCACGACACGGTCACGACAGATACACAACAGGAACAGGATAGACGCGACAGTCGGTCGTCCATCAATAAATAAAACGTAACGACATGGAAACGCACCCTAATTCTGCTTACTTTATGAGTTGTTACATTTTTGCAGAGGAGTTTTTCTAAAAACCCTTTAATGAAATTGGCACCCACGTAGATTTTACTGGTGAAATAACTAGTACATTACAAATTAGCCCGAACACTTTTTAGGTGATGTTTTTGGTGCTATAGTATTTACATTATTATTTTTGTTGTACTTGCCTATAATCTCTTTTATGGTACCACCGTTTCCTCCGTATTCAGCGGGCAATACGTCCTTTGGGATATATTTGTACATTTCTTCATAGTTTTTATTGTGAACGTATAACTGCAACAATAATTAATTTTTATATTTTATAATAAATTATGTTATATTTTATAATAAATTAAACAAATTCCAGTTCATTACAATACAAAAAAAAAGTAACATAAATAAAATATGCAAAATATAAATTTGAAGTACAATTCTAAAACCTTTAACTTTTCGATATCCATATAAACTGAGTCAGAAATTATGTTCCTTGGAAAAAAAAAGGAAAAAAATAAGAAATAAGTACAATTTACGAGCGACATAAAATTGCCTTCTTCTGCCGTCAAGCAGCAATATGTGAGCATTACTACGTTGCGGTTTTGAAGTGTACGAGTGCTGGTGTAACGACAGTACATGGAACTTGTCAATTTATGTCTCAAGGTGAAGGGCGCAGTAGCAGTGCCCCTCAGATTTGCGCTTTAAAGTTCTGAGTGGCACTGCAAATGCTATGGATAGGCGAGTCACTTATCGCCAGGTGCACGGTTTGTTCATCCCGGCACTTGGTAACATAAAAAAGAACGTACGCTGCGGCTCAATAGAAAACTAGGCATTGTGTTGTAAAACTTACTCTATTCTGGTTTTTCTCGCTTAAAAGAGATTTAATTGCATTGAAAATGATTTCAAATCCTGCAGGTGTGTTCAAGTAGTGGTTGCCTTTCACTCGGAATGGGAGCGACTCCTATAAATAAGGAAGAAGAAAAGTATCCTATCAGATTAATTTGTTTATAAAAGTTTTAACTAAATAAAAAACAGATATTTTCAAAAATGTATGTTTACTACGTTTTAAAACATATTTTACATAGGTTTTTTTTTTACTTTTCATATAGATCCTGCAATCAAACGACAATGATCAAATTTTGATTGGAGAACACAAATAAAATTTTTATTGAATTGATATTCAATTATTTTTGTGAAATTACTCCACTAGTTTGTTATAATTATTAATACAAAGATCGAACACTTAGAGAAAATGCCTTCGATCCGGCCGGATTCGAACAGACGTCTTCTAGCAAACCGTGCCAAACGCTATGCCAACTAACCACGGAACGATTTTTTTTATGTAATGAAGGAGGCAAACGAGCAGACGAGCCACTTGATAGGAGGTGGTCATCGTCGCCCAAGGACATTTGCAACATCAGATGAGCTGCCTATGCGTGGCCAGCCTTTGAGAATCCTGTAAACATGCTTTTTGAAGAATACTTCAAGAGAAAAATCATTCCACATCTTGCAGGTTCGAGGAAGGACGAACGAGATGCCCGCGTGGTCTTACAATGCCAGGCATCTAAGATGTGGGGATGGACTCTACACCTTTGGCGGGAGGTGCGATGGTAGAAACGAGTCGATGGCAGCAGTTCGAAAAGTCCCTCAGAGCACTCCCCATTATAAAGGCGACAGAACACACACAAAGAGCCAACGTGTCTCCGTAGACTAAGGAGCTCCATACCGTCTGTGAGGTTGGGGTCATTGATAATAACAACAGCCCTTCGTTGGATGGAGTCAAGTGGATCAAGCTGGTATTTGGGAGCTCCTGACCAGAGATGCGAGCAATACTCCATATGGGGCCGTACTTGTATTGTATATAACAAAAGTCGGTGACCTGGAGAGAAATACTGCTTCGCTCTATTGAGCACTCCGAGCTTTTTTGAAGCGTTTGGCTTTGCTCTCCAAATGACTTCGGAACTGGACTTCGTTCGTGATTTCGACTCCAAGTATCCTAATACTCTTTGAGATTGTAAGGGTAGTGTTCTGGAACTTTGGCGCTGTTAGGAATGGGGATTTTTTAGCAGTAAACGCGAACACTTGTGTCTTCAAGTTTCCGTCTGTTTTGCAGCAAGTGGATTGCTGGCTATTATACGGGGCGCACAAATATGCCCCATTTGCATCACCGGTACTGTCATCTGCATAGCAATGAATGCTACTAGTTGATAACATATCATTGATATGCAGGATGAACAGGGTTGGTGATAGCACAGATCCTTGCGGAACGCCGGCGTTGCTGAGCATGGTGTCCGAGCACAATCCATCGATAGCGAGTTTTACGTTCCGCGCATTTAGCGGATGTCACGAATTTTTCTGTGTGCTTGTTGTCGGATCTTTGTATTTGGTTTTTAACGACTTAGGAGTAGCGCCATCTATGAGAAATTTATAAGAGTTATTCGTCACCCAGTTAGATACCTTTACAGCTATCAGCCCTGGCTAGAGATGTCTATATAAACTGTAATTAAATTTTTATTGAATTGATATTCAATTATTTTTTTGTGAAATTAGTCCACTAGTGTGTTATAATATTTTAATACAAAGATCGAACACTTAGAAAAAATTCCTTCGATCCGTCTCCTTGCAAACCTTGCCAGACTTACCAAACGGAACGAACCAAATACAAAGATCTGACAACAAGCACATGAAGAACATAAAATTATTATTCGATCTCCTCCAACCTGAGCTGTTAATATAGAGATCATCACTATCATAATAGATGTTTATATCTGTGACACTAACCTGTGTAGTGACAACCATTTTCTTTATGACTGAAGGTGTCATCTGCACGAAATGTCCAATAGTCACTCCGTCTAAATCAAGAACACCTTGTGTACCTGTTATAGTGGCGTTGTCACACTCCATCAACACAATCTATGAAACAAAAAACGATTGAAATAAGTGAGATCGCACATTACTTTGCACCATATTGGCTTGTTTGAAGTATTTACGCTGTCACTTCCAGTATGATTTTGACATCCGTACGAGATGAAGAAAGCTACATCATACAAACCATAGATGTATGAAAAATAAGGGAAACCAATTCAGTGCCATATTAGTACAATCGCGTGTCGACACACACACTAGCCCTGCACCAGGGAAACCTTGTATCGCGGGTGGCCACGGACACACACATAGACAACTATAAATTACACCCAAATTTACGAGACAAATAAATGTAGGCCATACAAATATATCTCTCGGCCCGGGCATCGAACCCGGGATCTCTGCGTGACAGTCGAGTATGGTAACCGTTCGCCACTGAGGCAGTTTAGTTTTAAATTACAAATGTAGATGTCTTACGTACTAATTATTAAATCTTAAGAATAGCAATAAATCTATGTACATAACATTATATACTAACTTTAGTAAGAACATGGGATACAGAAATAATATCTGTGATGGAATATTTGTCAGGATCATAGGCTCCAGGTCGTACAATAGTCACTAGTGGTTCGTAGGCCGACGCAGCACCTGTTTTGAAATTTGGCAGAATGAGAATAACCCTGAAAAATAAAGACAGATGTAATCATTAGACTATTTAATAAATATAATATTATGTCTTTATTGATAAGAAAAACATGTCCCTTTACTATTCTTACATATTTTCATTGAACGTTTCTTACAGCCAGTCATAATATCTAATGTCTTTTTAAGGGCAAAGCATAAACAGCGTTTAGGTGTTAGGTTCGTATAGTTTACTGTTGACAGGTCAATGTCTACTCAAGCTCCACCTATGATTTAACATTTACCGGAATGAGTGTAGTCTTGAATAATCTCAGTACAGAGTACTAAAAAAACCGTCCTCAAAAGTACGTGGAATTACGTCTATTTGCTAAGTTTCATTGAAATATCCCCTAGTTCGCCACTATACAGGACTTGATACTGGAGATAATAAAAATAAGTTCTCACTACGACACTACTCAAAGTATATCGAGATAAAAACGCCTTGAATTGGAGAAATAGCAAAATGAACTAAATAATTGCTAAAAGTAATTGCTCCTAAATTAAAGTTAGGAGCTATTTATAAAAATGAATCTTCATGCGTGAACAGCCACCCTTTGAGGTGAATGATTTTCTTCAAAATGAAATGGGACCACTATGGAAGTACCCCCTTTCCAACAAAAAAGAATCATGAAAATCGGTTCACAAATACCGGAGTTGTCGCGTAACATACATACAAAAAAAAAGAACATACAGTCGAATTGAGAACCTCCTCCTTTTTTTAAGTCGGTTAAAAATAGACACAGCTGCTAGTCATTAGACGAATTGAAACTATTATCTCTTTTTTTTATGCGAAAATGTGTTCCTTTTCTACTTGTATGCATATTTTCTGAGATTTGCTTAAAGCCAGTTATAATACCTACAGAGATTCGATGAAAAATGGCAATACTTTTAACACCCAACGCTTGATTACCTATTAAGTCAGTTTAAGTTACATTTAACAAGCCATAGTCTCTCTACTATCTACTATATACCTACCCCATTTCCAGGATTTCGTTAAACTTCGGGTCTGTATGTATGGTCCTATAGAAATCAGGCGCTGTGCTCCTGCAGGAATAATATAGGTCGATTTTTTCCTTGACCCTTTCCAAACTGAATTTGCAACCACGCAGAAATGCTAATAGCCATTGATCGTCTGAAAAAGTACACTAAAGATCGGATGTTTGAAATAACTTTACACGTAATTGATTGCGAATTGAATATACTCTACTCTCTCTCTCTCTCTCACTCTACTCTACTCTAATGAATCAGATTTACAGTTAACTTAAAAACCTTAGTGGTCTACTCTTGCATTTCGCTATCAACACAACGTTCCAAGCTTTTTTAACAAAAAAGTCTATGCGGTTAAACGTTTTTCTAAACGATTTTTAAGCATCAAACTAAAAAGCGTTTAAGTGAAAAGCGTGTAAAAATGCACGCCTTTTTCAAAAAGCTACAACGTTTAAACGTTTATAAAAAAGACCGATTTTTTCCTCAAGCTGTAATACATGCCTAGTGTAGAATCCAGTCCCTGACAAGGGTTACCACATTTTAAATTGTCTGTCTTTATGTAATATAAAATATTTTGTGATGAGATAATAAAGCATTATTATATACTGTATAAAATTAAAATTATTCGTAAGCTTCCAGTTTAATAAAACATGTGTACGTTATAATAATACATATAAATAGTGAAACCAATGAAAACAATTAATCTTTTCCAGCTCCTTATCATAATTCTTTTATCCTACTATAATATGTACCAGGTGTGTTAGATAAGCATTTGCATACTTGTCTAGCGTGAACGATTACTTATGATTTTGGAATTATACAATATTTTGAGGCCGAGTAAAGTGAAATGCGAAAAAACTAAATCCATTGTTCACCGTACCGAATTCGCAACGCGAAACCCTAGGTTAAAAGGTCGTCGATTTTACGAACACCTACCCACAAACTTGAAAAGTAATACAAAAGCCGAACAATTTTATACCCGGCTAAACTTTTAGTATCAGTATAGCTTCTTGTGAAAGAATTCGTCCAGGGAAGTACTGCCACCTTACCTGTTTCTGCCGCCAAGCGTTAATGGTAGCATTACTGGTTTTGGAGGGTGAGGGTGCTGGTTAAATTACATGCACATGGGAGTTATCAACTTATGCCCCTCAAATCTTTGCGATCTAAAACTCTGAGTGCCACTGACTTTATACAGACGTGTCGCTTACCGCCAGGCCGACGACTTGTTCATCCCGTCACTTGGTATTATATCATATATCTACATATAGCCCTAAATTATATTATTACAATAATTTTATCCTCCATATATGAAATAATTGTTAAAATATCGATAAGATTTACATATTACCGAATAAATATATTTGGGTTTTTTATTATTAACCTTATTAACGTATCAATTACAATTAATATTTGCGTTCAGTATACGATATTTACATAGCAAGTATACATTTCGTTATATAGTGTTCATAGTACTTATATTATAAATACTCTCCTTTTATCTTTGTACACAATATTTAAAGCCATCGTCAATTGCGCTCTGCGAAGTATGCTCATAAAGTACTGTGAATTAATGAATGAATGAATTTTTTTTTATTGCACATTAAAATTGCAATGACAACACAGAACAGTAACGTAAGTATCACAGAGTGAGCCAACAACAGGCGGCCTTATTGTTAAGTAGAAATTAGTTTATGCTAATTATGAAATAGAGATACGATTACCGATCTGTAAAGTCGCTCGATCTGCTGTCGTAGCCTAATGGTTTAACCAACCGCCTTTCAAACAAATAACGTAGGTTCCAATGTGAGGTTCTCGGAATTTACGTGCGAAATTTAATTTGAAATTAACCATCAGCTTTCGTGTGAAGGACATTGACCTACCAAAAGCTCATACAGCAAGGAAAACATCGTGATGAAACCTGCATGTCGAAGAAGGTTCACAGCTCTCGGAAATCGTGTGAGATCACCATTCCGCAATGAGCCAGCGTGGCGGACTATAGCCTGTGTCCTCGCCTGAGAAGTGACCTATGCCCAGCAGTGGGGCGCGTAAATGGGTTGATGATGATGATTACAGATCTAGTACGCTTTTTATGCAGTTAGTTATTTTGTGCCACTGGAGTTTGCCGTAGATCCACCCCGCATAGCATTTCTATTATTTCAAACGGTATCTTATAAAGAACGATGTTTATTCTAAATTTCTTATCAAGGGTCTCAATTTGGATGCATTACTTTAAGAATACGTAAAGGTGAAATCAGCCTGCGAAATTTGTTTGTACAATCAATTTTTTGCATTTCAGTAACTTTGTGTTTTTAAGACACGAGTTTGAAAAAGGAAGACGACGATTTTTCTTATAATAGGTACCTGTACTAAGAGTCCGTAAGTAAGTATACAATAAAACTCACCTGTTCTGGCGCGTAGATGCGGTTGCTTAGCAATCCAGTCTTTCAGACTTTGCAAATCATTCTTCAATCGATTTGGATCTTCGTTTAATTCATTTTTAGCTCTTTCTGCTAACACCGATGGTAGCGGACGTATAGTCATTATTTCACAGTATAGCAAAATAATGAGGTGAATATTTTAATACAATGTTTATATTACTAATGAATTGTTTGCTTGCAAATCTCGTAATTATATTAATTATAGGATGATAAATTTATCACCTTTTTATTATCAAAATTATCACCGATTCTGTAGGTGCAACAAGATAAATGTAGAGTGTAAACAAATCTGTTTAATACGCTACAAATGTTTTCGATTTATCGATTGTCAACCCTAAAAAGTTAAATGTATCAACTTCATCGACAGTAATAATAATTTACTTTATTTCGGTCAAGTGTGCTTTCTGTGTTAGTCAAGTAATTCTTATAAACTATATTTATGAAACTCACAAACAGTAAATTACATTTTGATGTTACGAACTATCCATGGACAGTTTCAACCATTTGACGTGAATAGCTACCCATTAACACAGTATCTGCTCATCTTTCAAATCGGCCACTTCGAAAAGGGTACACTGAATACCACTGTTGTGGCTCCGCGGCAGTATTTGCAGAGTTGGGGCCATTTCAGAGCAATACACTTTTAATCATTCATAATATTGTGCTAGTAACATATGTTGTACTGAATAAATTTATTTTCTTTCTTCGTTATTTTCACTCGGCCACCGTCCGAAGGAGGCCGTTGAATCTGCCTCGCACCATATGCATCAGAACCGCTACCCTCTTTCGCATTATGGCGTTGAAGCCATCCACTCGCGCCTCAGCGAACATTTTTTTATAATACCAAATGACGAAACTAACAAGTCGTGCGTCTGGTGGTAAGCGACACGCCTGTCCGTAACAGTTGTAATGCCACTCAGAGCTTTAAATCACAAAGATCTGAAGGGCACTGCCACAGCGCCCGTCACTCTGAGACATTACTTAAAAAGTTGTGCCTGTAACTTAATCAGCACCCGTACCCTTCAAAACCGGAACTGTGACCATTACGATTACCTATCAGTAATCCGAAATGACATTTTCCAGAAATAACGTTTGGTCGAATTTTCATAACCTCGAAAGTAATTTTGAGAGGAAAATGTTTTTTCTTGTAAACCTTTTTTTTTTAACTTAACTTAACCTAACCGAAACTAATCGTGTCTTTGCGATAAACATTCAACATATCCTGAAAGAACAACTGTTTCGTTATAATTCGGTTTTCGGTGTAATGAAAATTCGAACAAAAGTTATTTCGGACAAACAATGTTCCACTTTGTGATAGGTTACCATGACCATTACTGCTTGGCGGCAGAAATAGCAAAGGTGGCAGTACTTTCCTGGACGAACTCTTTCATAAGGAGCTCTACTGCTAGTAAATGCGCTACAGTAGCGGAGCAACCCCAACAGTTTTATAAGAGCGTCATTATGCTGGAGTTAATTGAACAATGTGAGCAGTATTGAATTTCTAAATAAAACTTGAAACCAAATACGTACATTTTGTGGTAATTTATGTAGGTACTTTACCCTATTTGACAGGTGAGGGACAGTTGATCTATGCCTGTACGAGTACACACTATTTTTTATAAATATATGAAAACTTATTAAAACTTTATTCAATTTAATGAAGTCTGATAAAGTATTACCCGATTTGAATGAAACTCTAAAACTAAAACTTCATATTTTACGTCAGTTTCACCTTTCGTCATAAAAGTTGTAAGAATATTCAACGAGACTAGCCATTTTGACGTCGGGATGACTCGTCAACTTGATGTCCGTTTATTTGTACGAACAATAGGGCTAGCATAACACGGCGCGACTAGGGCGAGAGCGACAGAAAGCGATCTTTATGCGAAAACAGCAGTATCTCGCGCTTTATGTCGCTCTCGCGCAAGTCACGCTAATCCTACTGGGGGTCTACCATAACCTTTCAAAAAACAATCTTATTTCAATGTAAGCTTAAAGTAAGCTTATTATAATATTGTACCCTCCGTGAAAAGTGCGTTAAGCCAGAAATTCGTGTTTTGAGAAAAACGGATTTAAATTTTTTTTCTTTATAGGCTCATAACTTTTTAGTTATGTGTTCTAGTTTTGTACGAGTTACTTTTCCTAAAAAGGAATTTCCGTGTCAATATTGTGGTTTATCAATAATTAAATTTAACTTTACATATTCTCAGCAAGTAACAATAAAAGCAAATTGTATCATTTGTCACTTTAAATCGTGGTTGTGTTAGATGATTTAATACGAATTGTATTAATTTACACTGCGTGTGGTGACTTGGTGAGCAATAATATGTAAATAAGTTCAAATAGATTTATTTAGTTACCTATTAAGATTGCAAGAATCTTGCCAAACAAAATCGTAATTAAAATTAATGGGTTTTTTGCGAATCAGTTGAAATAGATGAAATTGCGCAAAAATAAAAAATGTATTACATAAACTCTAAAGTTGCGACCAAAAGTTTTGTGTATATTGCTATATATTAATTGGTATTGTTACAATTTTAAGCGTACAGTTACCTGAATATTAGTAATTACAGGTACATCTCATAGTGTGTCCAAATAAAATGCATTATTTTAAATCCTTATGTATTGTTGTTGTAATAACTTTAAAAATCAACATCATCAGATTAGTTTTTGCAAGTAGGTAGAATAAACTTCTACTTTTACACATTTTATAATAAAAAAAGACTCATTTGTATTTTAGGAATTTACAAAAATAGATCTTCAGTCAACTTAATACCGAGGTAACAATAAGTAATAATTTGTTTTTTTAGTTAGTAATTATCATGCCACTTCGATCTTACATGTTTAAGTCTATTTTTATAGATCTACAACAAAATTAAATAACAACTATATATGTATAGTTGTTATCCCTATAGGGAGGTATTGCATTTTTCGGCTAAGCAGGTGGCTGAGGTACTAAGGCAAATGACCAGAGGAAAATCTCCAGGTCACGAAGCTCTCAGCATCGAGCACCAGAAATGTACGGGAGTGCACCTTTCCAGAGTGTTGGCTATATTTTCTCTCTGTGTATAAGGCATTCTCATTTACCGCCTGAAATGCTCAAAACTTCAGTGGTGCCAGTAGTTAAAAATAAAACGGGGGATATGGCCAGTCATGGAAATTGCCGTCCGATATCGCTGGCCACAGTTGTTGCTAAGGTGTTGGACAGTCTGCTGGACAAAGAGTAAATAATATAAGTTATGCCGACGCTTATGGTGCTGCTGGGTCCAACGGCGCGGCGGGCTCAATTACGGAGCTCCTTCGGTTTTGTGAGCAGTATACGAGTACTCACGGCCTTGTATATAATTGTATCAAGAGTGAGTTTATGGTCTTTGGGACCCCCGGTAGAGTGATGTCTTATGAACCTAGAATTAACTTGATGAGGTGGCACTAAAGAGGGTGTGCAGATTTAAATAACTAGGACATTAGGTACTTGACGGTGGATCTTAAAGACCAAAATGATATTGATCGGGAACGTAGGGCGTTGGCTGCCAGATGTAATATCTACGCACATATATTCGGCCGCTGTAGTGAGGAAGCCAAAAAAAATAAATTTATTATTTTTAATGACAGTCAATTAACGTTTTTATGTCAGTTTAAAACAAATTAAGAAGGGTTGATTACTTTGCTTCACTTTTTTATTTATTGTTCAAATTTTATTTATTGCATTTTAATAAGTATTGTTGCCAGTGACGATATAAATAATAATAAATAAATCATTTATTTGGCATTCAAGGCCCACTTGTTAGTAAATACAGACATTTTTAAACTTATGATCATTATTCGTAAATACAGAGACAAAACATAAAAACACAAGCAAGACGTTTCATGTCGGTCAGTATCGGAATATATTCCTAATAGTTCATGAACTATACAAGCCTACTTTCAATCACTTTTGCAATAATACATTACTTGGTTGACAGGTTCGTCGTGCGTCGAATATGAGTAATATTATAATAAGCTTACTTTAAGCTTACATTGAAATAAGATTGTTTTTGGAAAGGTTGCGGTAGGTCCCAAGGGCGGAATTATCTTTTTAAACCAATATTCGCTACGTAATTGCTGTCTATGCGAATGTTTTACAGAACAAAACATGAACAGAGGATAGTGTCTTCATTTGCAACTTTCTTCCAAATAAGATGTCATACTTACAGACGTAAGTTTCATAAAATACAAATTTACCGTATATACTCTGGAACATCTACCCACAACAGTACTTCTATGTACAAAATGTTATAAGACATTATGGCACAAAACGTAATATTTTTTCTATGATATACGTCAAAGTACTAAATATAAAGACATTTAACGATTTATCAAAGATTTATTACGAATATAAAAACTTATTAACTTTATTAGCTAATCCACTTGGAGTTGTCGGAAAGATCCTTCAACGCCAAACATTGCTTCAGCTGTTTTTGGTTTTCCTGGCCTTTTAGATTCGTCTGTACCATACTTCTCGTCATCTTCCAACCACGAACTATATTCTTCAACCTTTTTCTTCCAATAGTCTGGAAATAAAATTGACACAGTGCATTATTTGGTGATAAGTTAAGGTAACTTGAAAGCACATTAATGTTGTTTTTAAAATTCATTCGCGTAAAATTTGGAAAATGTGTACAAACCAAGAAAAGTTACTCGACAACCCACAAAAATTCAAGACAAGTACGAAACATCACATTGCATGTATTCATTAACCTGAAACTTGGCATGAATACTTTTTATAGCATAACAAAATTGAAGAAACACTAACTTTGGTTTTTCGAAAAGTACTCTTGTTAATAATCTTAAAAACATCATTAAATAAGCAGAAATAACTGACGCTAATAATATATATTATATCCTCTCCAATTAATAACACAATCAAAATTCAGTTTGGTAATATTAAGTAGTACCTACTGCACCACAACCAAAACTTTTATTGATTTAAACTCAAAACATACCCCGCCCTTGGCAGTCAGCTTGGGTGGCCTAGTATAACACGCGATATGTGTATAGATAATTCTATAGAAGAAGAAGAAGAGAAATATTCGGGACAAACGTGCCACTTACGTATTTACAATATACACATTTTTATAAATTATATTATTATAAATTTTTGCTCAACATGTTTCGAACCAATTCGTGGTCCTTGATCACCGTTCCATCGAGTCACCGCCGCAGAACCTCATGGACCACGAATTGCTTCGAAACATGTCGAGCAAAAAAATTCGACTTAAATACGTGAGTTATCCGTTATTTTAGTTAACACTTCTACTTTATTTACTTCACAACTTGTTAATAGTTCCAAACTTGGATACATTTTCACATGATGTTTTTGACGAGATAGTATTTATAATATTTTTCTTGTACCTACCTATAATCTCTTTTGTAGTACCTCCGTTTCCTCCGTATTCAGCGGGTAACACATCCTTTGGGACGTATTTGTACATTTCTTCATAGTTGTTATTGTAAACGTATAACTGTAACAATTATTTAAAATATATATTAATCACCTGTAAAGCTTACTGAAATGACGAAAATAAGGCAGCCAAAACATGCGACACATTAGTGTAAAATACAATTCTAAGTATGACTTTTCAGTGTCTAAACAATATCTGATCTAATCAGTCTACTGAACGTAGACGTTATTTGTTGGAAGAAAGTAATAATTTAAATTACAAAAGAAGTAAAACATAACCCGTAGCTAAATTGAAAACTTACTCTATTGTGGTTTTTTTCACTTAGAAGTGCTTTGATAGCATTGAAAATGGTTTCGAATCCTACAGGAGTGTTCAAATAATGGTTTCCTTTCACTCGCAATGGGAGAGCATTCTGTAAATAAAAATGTTAAAAGGTGCGTTGATTACTTTTTAACCGACTTCAAAAAAGGAGGAGGATTTTTTGTATGTATGATATGGCATTTGTGATTCGATTTTGATGACTATTTATTTTGTTGGAAAGAGGGTACCTCAGATAAAGGTCCCATTTAAATTTGAAAAAAAAATATTCCTCTGAGTGTGGCAAACTGGGGGATGAATAACTTTCGAGGTCGGTTTTTTAGTACTCTGTACCGAGATTATTAAGAATATTTTAAATGCTTTTTTTTTTTCAACATTGATCCAACCACTATGAAGTAAATGTGGTCGGAAAATCGTTTAACGGAAAACTGTTAATTTTCAATTTCCTTCAATCTGTTGTTAATATGGAGTACTGTAATCACTGTATACACTGTACGAAGGCAGATAATTAATACATTGAGATGTATGCACCAACCTGTGTAGTTACAACCATTTTCTTTATGACAGAAGGTGTCATCTGTAAGAAGTGCCCAATAGTCACTCCGTCCAAATCGAGTATAGTTTGTGTACCTGTTACAATGGCGTTGTCGTACTCCATCAACAATATCTATAAAACAAAAGATACTTGAAAAAATGGCAACGCACATTACTTCTTTCGCACCGTACTGACTTGTACAGCGTAGTTTACCGCTTCACGCTGTCAATTATAGCCTGACGTCAACATACTGTTAGCATAGTATAATTAATAAGGCAAGTAGTACAACTCCCACCTGTTCGCGTCAATGCCTACTACATCACTCGAGCATATCTAGGGTTGTCACATTATTATTTTAGTACCTGCAGGTTATAAACATAATTTGAAAAATTTAAGTGTTCATCACAACATTCTTGTGCTATAATGAAATCGCAACATTGCAGGTTGGTATCTCCATTATGTTGGTATCTCCAGTATAATTATGAAATGCTGAATAATTCTGAATTTGAGTCACTGTTGTTCACATCACCGTAAACACAATAATAAACAATTCTACTGTTTGATGCCATTTTTCAATTCTATAGTAAATGGCACGTGTACCTAACGACTAATTATGACGGAACTCTGATTACTCTATGCCATGTTTTTTTTTATAATACCAAGTGATTGGACGAACAACTCGTGCGCCTGGTAGTAAGCGACACGCCTGTCCATAATAGTTGCAGTGCCACTCAGAGCTTTAAATCGCTAAGATTCAAAACCGGAACGTAGCAATGTGACCATTACTGCTTGGCGGCAGAAATAGGGTCGGTGGCAGTACTTACCTGGAGGAAATCTTTCATAAGGAGATCTACTGTTACTATAAATATAATATAAATTGTAATTGTATTGTGTATTAGCTTACAGCTTCACGCAGTCGATTACAATATGACGTCGACATCCGTACATGGTACTGTGAGAGACACCATACAAAGCAATGCAATGCTAAAGTCATGCAATCACATGTCGATACAACAGGTCAACATTCACCGTATAAGAATCGTCCATCCCAACAATAAACTGAAATAATAACTAACAAACTGTATTTTTTCTACTTAGCTTACAAATAATATTGCAACCTAAATCAAATCACAAATGTGGCATAAATTACGTATGCACTTACATATGCGTGAGTAAATTTGGTAAATCTTAAAAAAATACTCACTTTTTCAAGAATATGGCCAACAGAAATAATATCTGCGATGGAATATTTGGCAGGATCGTAGGTTCCAGGTTGTACAATAGTCGCTTGTGGTGCAGATACCGATGCAGCGTTTGATTTAACATTCGGCGGAATGAGTATAGTTCTGGAAAATAGAGGTGCTTGTCATTTGACGAATTAATAGTACATACATTATCTCTTTTTTCATATCGATAACATGCCTCTTTATTACTCACACGTATTTTCTATGATATGTAAGTTACATTCAACAAGTCAGTGTCTACACAAAATCAACCTACCCCATTTCCAGTATTTCGTAAAACTTCGGATCTGTATGTTTGATTCTATAGAAGTCAGGCGCTGTACTCCTGCAGGAATAATACAGGTCGATCTTTTCTTTGGTCCTTTCCAGGCTGAATTTGCAACCACGGAGAAATGCTAATAGCCATTGGTCATCTGAAAACGTAGACGAAGGTTGAGATGTTTCGCATAACTTTAAACGTAATTTGTTGTGTATTGAATAGATCTATAGGATCGCAGTCTTTACATGTTCTTGCGCTCGTTATGTCTGATGGCCATAATACAAGTCAATTCTTAGAATCCCAGTTGAAAATAACATACGGCTTTTCTGCCGTTTTTTACTACATCTAGAACAATTTATAAGTGTCAGATAGAATACGATTTTAAACAAGAATTATAAACTTCCTGGTTTAATATTCATAGTACATTATATCACTTCTTCGTTAGACACAATCTTTAAAACCGTTAGAAGTTGGACTTTGCAAGGTATCTGCGTAGTAGCAGTAGAGCTAAGTGCAGAAATCTACGAACTAGCACGACGCATCGCAAGAATTTGCGAATTGCTCGATGTTAACCTTCTTTGTGTTTTTTCCTATACTTTCTTATCAATAACAGCAGTGCAACATTGTTTTACGATCCGTGTCGCTAATTAGTTAAAAAAATACGTTCAGTGCGGTTGGTGATGGTCGAAGGAATGGTTACGGGAACCGTGGCAGTGAGATGCCTTGCCGCAGAAATCGCATCGCAGCAGTCCCGAAATTGTGAAAGAATTCGTCCAGGGAAGTACTGCCAACTTACCTATGTAGTAATGTGAGCATTACTGCGTTCCGGTTTTGATGTAAGGATGCTGTTGAAGTTACAGGCACGTGGGACTTGTCAATTTAAGTCTCAATGTGACGGGCACAGTGGCAGTGACCCTCAGATCTTTTTATGCGATTCAATGCTCTGAGCGTCACTGCACCTGTTATACGTTAGACAAGCGTATCACTTACGACCAGGCGCGACACTTGTTCGTCCCGTCAATTAGGATTATAAAAAAAGGATGCTAATGCGGGTACTTTAAGATAATGTAACGTAATATAGCGATAACTATTATTGATCTGGCATGTTTTATACAGCTACGTCCGTTTTGTGCGATTGGACCTATCCCGTATTGAATTTTGCTTACAGTTGACACGTGTACCTAAGTCTCCGTATTTTAAATATAAAATAAAACTCACCTGTTCTGGCACGTAGATGCGGTTGCTTAGCAATCCAATCTTTCAGATTTTGCAAGTCATGTTTCAATCTCTTTGGATCTTCGTTCAATTCATTTCTAGCTTTTTCTGCTAACTCTGATGGTAAAGGACGTATAGTCATTATTTCACAATATAGAAAAGTAATAAATGATTAATAAAGTGTTAATAAAATTTTTATATAAGTAGTTATTGTACAGTCAGCGTCCTATGAAACGAATTGTCTATTTGCAAATATCGTACTATATCGTAGGACGATATCTAGAAATTATCACGATGAGTTATCTATAAGAGTAACAAGATAAAGGGAGCATTTTGTTGAATACAAATTTAATGTACATCGTTCTACGCATACAACGAATATAACGGCTACTCGACGTGTACTTTGTAAATTGGCTCTAACAATAAAAGTAAGCCTAATCGTTGCTAATTTTTTACAAAAACCTTTAAATAATTAGTAGGAGTAGAGCTCATTGTGAAAGATTTCATCCATTGTACTTCTGCCTTACGTTACCTATTTCTGCCGCCAAATGGTCATGTGAGCGTTACTGTGTTCCGGTTTTGAAGGGTAAGGGTGCTGGTGAAATTACGGGCACGTGGGACTTGTCAACGTATGTCTCAGGTAGACAAGTACAGTGGCAGTGCTCCTGCACTCTTTGCGAGATTGAAGCTCTCAATGGCACTGCAACTGCTATGGACAGGCGTGTCACTTACCACCAGACGTACGACTTGTCCTTCTTTACTTGGCATTATAAAAATTAATTAACCAACTATCTTAAAACCAAGGAAATAATATCAATCTCAATTCGGTTTAGATCTGCTCCTTCCGTTGACGAACCACCTTAACGACAGATTTAAAACTATGAAACTTTTAGAATCAAATACGAATATAATATGTTTATTTGCCGTAATTGTAACAGCTCTGATTTAGTATAAATACATATTTGTTGCAATTCAATTTCATACGCTAAATTATTGAAAATCACTTTATATATGTTGAACCTTAGGCTGACTTTATCACATGTCTTAATGTATTGAAGATGAATCAACATTCATCCTCAACACTGTAAGATATCAGGGAAATTTTTGTGTATTTGTCAACACAAATACTCAAAAAAGTCCCTGATACACAGTACAATCGTGGCAATGACCGTATATTAGGCTTTTTGAACAATCATTTGTAGATAGTAACAGTAGACCTCCCCGTGAAAGAGTTCGTCCAGAGAAGTACCTCAGTTATTTCTACCGCCAAGCTACAATGTGAGCATCACACATTCGGGTTTTGAAGGGCAAGGGTGCTGGTGAATACAAGATACAAGAATACAAGATATTTATTCGCTGAAAAATGTAGTTTACAATGGTGTTATAGTATATTATTATTAGATCGTACATTTCACCAACACTTGGCATGCGAACATTTTACACAATTCTCATTTAAATCACGCACAGTGGTTAAATTTTACATTTTATGTTATCAATTAAGAAATCATTTATATTGTAGTAGCATTGTGTAACTAACAAATTATGTAATTTTATTTTAAATTGCCTACAATTTAGTTCTTTAACTGCATCTGGTATTTTATTAAATAATTTAGGTGCCAATATAAACATCGTTCTATTGTAAAATTCCAAGGTGGGGCGTTGTTTTGGCCGTATTTCTATTTTGTTCCTTGTTTTCCTGGGATGTCTGGTTTTCACTAGATTAAAGTTGCCTGGATTTTGTTTTATATAAACACAGGCCTCGTAAATATACATAGATGGTAGGGTTAAAATCTTTAGTTTTCTAAAACAGGGTACACAGCTTTCTCGCTGGCCAACACCAAACATGGCCCTGACACATTTCTTCTGGGTTTTAAACAGTGGTGTAATATGTGTTGCAGCAGCGTTCCCCCAAAGCAGCAGACCATATCGCAAACTAGAGGCTACATAGGCGTGATAAGCACAAAGAGCAGTTCTTTGTGACGTTATTCTCGTCAGAATTTTCAGTACATATACGTATTTACTAAGTTTAGTATTTAACTTATTTATATGTGACTTCCAGCTCAAGTGATTATCAAGAGTAAGGCCCAAGAAATTTGTTTCATCAACCTGAGCTACATTTTGTGTATTGTAGGTTATAGTTAATTTTTTTGGTCGTGATTGTGGCCTGTAGAATTGCATAAACTTAGTCTTGTCCAAATTTACTACGAGATTATTTGATTGTAGCCATTTTATAGTGTCACTTAGTGCATCATTTAAAGTTGATTCATATTCATCAATATTAGTGCATCTCACAACCACAGAGGAATCGTCAGCAAAAAGTATCATCTTTTGTTGAACATGGTCTGGCAAGTCGTTAATATAGAGAATAAATAATAGTGGCCCTAAAATACTGCCCTGCGGTATACCGCGGTCTACAGTTCTAATATTTGATTTGGCTACTTTCTCCGTGTTTTTGTCCATGTATGTAATATGTGTCTCTTGTTGGCGATTCTCTAGATATGATTTTATTAGATCATGTGCTGGTCCTCTCAATCCGTAGTCATATATTTTGTCTAATAGTAACTTATGTGACACAAAGTCAAATGCTTTCGTCATGTCCATGAAGATTGTAGATACTGCTTCCCTTTTATTGATACTATCCGATACAGTTGTTAGTAAATCAATTATTGCATGATTTGTAGATTTATTTTTCTGGAAGCCATACTGTTCTGGTTTTAATGTTCCAGATTTTTCTAAAAATCCATAAATACACTACATATACAATACAATTATAAATTATTCGCTCCAATATTTTTGATAGCACTGGTAGTAAAGCAATGGGACTGTAGTTTTCACATATTTCCTTATTCCCTTTTTTAAATAAAGGCTTGATAACAGTAGTTTTTAGTTTCTCAGGAAAAATGCCCTGGGACAGGCATAAATTAAATATGTAACATAAAGGATTCGCTAATTCTTTTGAGCAAAATTTGATAACCTTGCTTGAGATACCATCATATCCCACGCTATTTGTATTTTTCATGTTTCCGATTGTTTTTATTATGCATTGCGGGGTGGTTGGTGTTAAATATATGGAGTTTCTTGATCTTTGTATCTTGTAGTCGTATCTATGGTCTGCATTACTACCATCGTGTTTTATCAAATCCACAAATGAATCATTAAATAAGTTGGCTATGTCCTAAGGTTTGTACACATATATTTTATTCTTATGAAATATTTTTGAAATGTATTCCTTTTGCTTGATATATTTTTGTTTATTAATTAATTGCCATGAAGCTTTTGTAATATTGCTTGCATTTTTTATATATTTATTATTTTGTATTTTTTGGGAGGTATATATAACCTTTTTTAATATTTTTTTATAAGTGTTATATAATTGTTTGTTTTTTGTTTTTATACTCGTTCAATATATTTTCCTTTTTAGTTTGGTAGATTTCTAAATACCAGTTGTTAACCAATTTGGTCTCATTCTCGTGTTAATTTTTAATTTTTGGATCGGAAACCATAGGTCGTAGAACATTTGTACCATTTCATACAACGTATCGTATGCAGTATTTGGATCTTGTATGGAATATAGGTTGTCGTAATTAATACTTTTCAGACAGTTTTTGAATTTATTTAAATTAATCTTGCTGTAATCACGTACTTCAATGATCCAGTACATTTGAGTAGTAACACTGTTTACTGGACACATGAGCAACTGTGCAGAATGGTCTGATATTCCTAGGTGAAGTATTTTTCCTTTACAACCTCTACTGTTATGAGCTATATTATCAACACACGTACTACTTTCAAGTCTAGTCACATCTTTGAAGTCCAATCTGAAGTTAAAGCTGTGTAGCAAGTTAGTAAAATCTCGACTGATGGTATTATCATCTAGGATATTTATATTAAAATCACCACAAATTATTGTTTTTTTCTTTCGCATATTACTAACTTGATGTAAGAGTAGTTCTAATTGTTTTAAAAAGAGAACTATATGTTGTTTGTTAGGAATTCGATAAATGCAAACTATAATAAGGTTTTTTGCTAGTACTTCTATTGCACAACATTCAAAGATCATGTGTATTGCTCATTTGTTTATTTCTAAAAGTTCCTTGTATTCAATACCTTTGCGTAAAAGTATGCAAGATCCACCTCTCTTTTTATTGCGTGAGTAACTTGTAGCTAGTCTATAATTATTTAAGTGAAGGTTACATTCATATTCCGTCATTAAAAAGTGTTCAGTCAGACATATAACGTCAATGACATTGTTATTTTGTTGTAACTCGTCTAACACTGCTTCTAATTCAGACACATTTCTAAGTACGCTACGTATATTTTGATGTAGTATACTGAGATTTTATTTTTGCGGCATTGTTAACGAAAAAATTCTAAGGATGGATTGATAGTGTGAAATTACAGGCTCATGGGAGTTGTCAACTTATGTCTCAGGGTGACGGGCGCAGTGGCAGTGCCCGTGCCACTCGTTCTTTGCGATTTAACGCTCTGAGTGACACTGCAACTGGTATGGACAGGCGTGACGCTGATCACCAGCACACGACATATTCGTCCCGTCATAAAAAAAAAATTATCATAAAAAAAAATTATCAAATCATGTTCATAACTATATAAGTGTTTTACAAAATAAACGTGAACAGAGAAGAGTTTCTTTCTTCATTTATAACTTACTTCTAAGTAAGACGTCTCACGTACAAATACATAGGGCGCACTATAACTTTCCGGAACTGGCCACTTACATAAACAATAATTAAAAAGTAATTACTACATTAGAAAATGGAACTCTTTGACTGTAGAATACAGTTTGTTTCATCTGACTGTCATTCGTTATTGCATTATGGCGTCATTTTAGAAATTGGTTGTCTAAATCACCATGGATTTAACTCGTGAGAATTTTCGAAGTATGATTTTCTACGACTTTAATTGTGTAATTTAACAGCTCAGCTGAGCTTCGCTCGGCTTCAAACTGCTTTTGACGATGAAGCACCATGCAAGACGACTATTTATTGCTGGTTTTGCAGAATGCAAACGCGGACGTGTGAAACTCAGTAACGAATTTCGTGATGGTCGCCCGTCCACTGCTCTGAACAACAAAAACATTGATGCTGTGCGCCGTATGATCAAAACAGACAGGCATGTGACATACCATGTGATTCGGGAATCTTTAGGCTTTATGAGTCAAATACAATCAATATTACTTTTTATTACTAAATCAATACTACTTTATATTATCACTAATACTAACGTGGGCGTGAAAAAGCTGTGCTCTCGGTGGATCTCACACAATGTGACTGAGGCTCAAGAAACGGATCGCGTCACTTGGTGCAATGCCATGCTTACCAGATTCAACGAAGAGAGTCAAATTTGGTGTGGGACATAGTAACAGGTGGCGAAACATGAATTTATAGTTACGATCCCAAAACAAAGCAACAATCGAGCGTATAGGTCTTTCAAGATGTGCTGAGACCAACCAAAATGGCGCCCGTACAAAGTGCCTCTAAACGGATGATTACTTCTTTCTTTAATAAAACTAGACACGTGGCTACTATTGCTTTGGAGAATCGTTATACTGTAAATAGTTATTGGTACACGACCATTTGTTTGCCGGCAGTTATTGACAAACTCAGTAAAAATAACCGTAAACGTCGTATCATCTTGCACCACGATAACGCCAGTTCTCACACGGCCACACAGACAAATGAATCTTTAAAGGTGAACAACGTTGACCTTATGAGCCATCCCGCGTACAGTCCCGCCTGGCACCTTGTTACTTTTATTTATTTCCAAAAATTAAGAACCAGTTACGCGGTCAACGACTTTCATCACCTGGAAAGTAAAGAGTATGAAACATATGTTTTAGAGATTGTCACGGAGGAGGATCATAAACGTTTTCAAAATTGGTTTATTCGTATGAAAAAGGGCATTAACGCTAACGGAGAATATTTTGAGAAACAATAAATTTATTTCTGACCATTTATAGTATTTTTTTCTTATTCATTCCGGAAACTTATAGTGCACCCCACGTATAAAGGTTACTAAAACAGAAATTGGCCATATTTTCTGAAAAATCTATTAGGAATAGTATATTTCTATGCATAAAATTTTATAAAACTTTGTAACACAATACTCAATCATGTTTCTGTGATAAACGTCAGAAATTATTAGATAGAAATGACACTCAACAATTTCTCAAACATTTATTGCAAATATAAAAAATCATTGACATTAGTAACTAATCCACCTGGAGTTGTCGGAAAGATCCTTCAATGCCAAACATGTTTTCAGCTGTTTTGGGTTTTCCTGGCCTCATAGACTCATCTGTACCATAATTTTCGTCTTCTTCCAACCATGAACTATATTCTTGAACCTTTTTTTTCCAATAGTCTGAAAAGAACATTTATATAGTGCATTCTTTGGCAAAAACTTTGGCGCAAATGTTGGAAGTGTGTACACAAAGTAAAAAAGACACAATCTAGAAAAAACAATCTTTAAATCGGGGAAATCAATATGATTTGCATATATTAGGCATGTATGAAACTAAATGAGACCTGAAAGTAGAAGTGAATACCTTTTATAGCACAGTCAAATTGGTACTTTTCAGTTTTTCAAAATTACCCCAAAAACAAAATTAAATAATTATGAATACAATACTATGTACAATAACAAACTAGTGGAGTAATTTCACATAAAAATAATTGAATATTAATTCAATAAAAATTTTAACAAAATGAAATGTTAATTAATATTTATACACAAATTCCTTGAGATATTTACAACCGGTTATTATTATTTTTCCATGTAAATCTCGTACAGTCAAGAGCACGTCAAGCTTGACACTTTGTACTTTGGACCTTTCTTATCGTAAGCGGCATAGAGTTGGATTGAAACTTAAGTGTCAAGCTTGACGTGCTCTTGACCCTGTACTATTGTATGGGTATTTGAAAGATTTACTAAAACCTAGATATGAATCTTCGTCAAATGAAACGCTGACAGTCAAAAAGAAATATGCACGATAGTTTGAATGGAAAAACCGTGACGATCCTACATATCAATAGAATGAAAATATTGTTTTTATTCTTCAAAACCAAAATATAAAAGAGGGTAATACAAACATACACTACAAGTAAATTAAGAAAAGTTTTTTTTTTATGTATTCCTAGTACACGGAGAAACGAGATGCTAAAGTGTCACTGCAAAAGTAGTATTCTTTAAGTCTATTATACTGAAACTTAGTGTACAAAATATTTTACAAACACACAAAATTAAAGCAGCTAGTAATTACACTGAAAGTACACACATCAAAAGTGTCTAGGGATCAAGTGAATATTTTTGAAATAAAAATTATTTAAGCAATATTTACCAAATCCAGTCTTCCAGGACGACTTCTTACTTTAATGCTTATGTTTTATTTAACCGCTTACCCCTATATTTAATTAAAATAAACTATCTATATATAATTGATGTTTTTGCAAATTGTGGGAAAAAACTCAAATTAACGGCGTCAATTAAATGACAAAAAAATGGCGAAAATGATGATTTTGCTCATTTTTATTGTAAAGATAAGAAAATTAATAATCTGTATTTCCACCATTAACACGAATCACACAATTACAGCGATTTGGCATGCTTAAGATGAGTTCATCAAAATCACTTTGAGGAATGGCCGCCCATGTGTTTTGTAACAAGTCAAAATATTGTTGTAGAGTATGTACGGTATGCATACTCGGCACAGCTCTTCTTTGAAGCATATCCCATGCGTGCTCAATTGGATTGAGGTCTGGCGATTGAGCAGGCCACGGCAGAACGTTGATTCGAGCTTCGACAAGAATGCGTGTTACGACTCTAGCCGTGTGTGGACGTGCGTTGTCATGCATTAGTTGAAATGAATCACCCAACTGGTCTCGCAAAGGGATGATAACATCTGAAACAATCCTCTCTGCATAAACTTGAGCATTGAGGTTACCCCTGATCCAAATGAGATCGGTTCTTCCGCCGATCCAAATACCGACCCATATCATTATTGTTCCCCCACCATATGGATGAACTTCCTGACAATATCTCAAACGTTCATGACGTCCAGATGTTCTCCAAACTCGAGTACGTCTTGTATCCGGTCTCATACCGAAGCGGGATTCATCCGAAAAGCACACATAGCGCCAGTCTTCTTCCTCCCAGTTTCTGTGTTCGCGAGCCCATCGTAAACGGGTCCTGCGATTGCAGGGTGCAATAGGTGGAACTCTGAGCGGCCTTCGGGATCGCAGACCCACTTCACGTAAACGATTTCGGATTGTTTAATCGCTTATTAGCAAGCCTGAGGAGCTGTGGAGCCTCGTAACCAACATCATGGCGGTCATGGTACGATTCCGTCGAGCAGTATTTTGGATATACCGGTCCTGTCTGCGAGTCGTGATGCGAGATCGTCCTCCATGTCGCTCGGCCACGCTGCCCGTCATGCGATAGCGCGTCCAGAGGCGACTTATGACGCTCTGTGTAGTGTTAAGAGTGAAAGCCACAGCACGTTGCCTGGAACCAGCTTCCAACATTCCGACGGCTCGCATCATCACTTCTCGGGTTAAATGATGTCGTCTCTCCATAATAATGTAAATTGTTTCAGTTCCGATGCAGATATTGTAATGATTTTGTCAAAACGCTATAACTCATTTTTATACAAAACCACATTGACAATCGATTTTCTTCTTATTATCGAATTTTAAACAATATTCCTTATTTAAATGTTAAAACTCACTAAAAAGTATCAATAGCGATACAAAAAAGTTAATATAATTAACCCTAATTGCAGCAATACTCTTAAACGTACTTGATCCCTAGACACTTTTGATGTGTGTATTTTTCTTTCATTTTCATTTATAATCAGAACGCAAAGGCCCTTTCATCACGCCCCTGTCCTTAACAAAAACGCACCAACACAGTGCATACGAGCTCAGTAAAGTTTCTAATTATCATCGTAATCATAACAAGGAAAAGCCATTTCGCCTGTTAAGCCCAATAACATCATAAACTTTTAACCCGCTTACTTTACAAACATAAGAGGTGAAAAAAAAACTATAATTGTACAAACTACCTCAATTTGAATCTGAAATACGTTGACTGATAATGATAACAGACACACCTTCTCATAGGGTCGTATTCTAGAACTCTACTCAATGCTCAAGTCAGGACTTGAGTATTGCAGTGAGCACTGAAAATCATACTCAAGTCCCTGCCATTAGGGTCGTATTTCCAGTGCTTGTGTTTCCATTGCAATCCTGACTTGAGCATTGAGTAGAGTTCTAGAATACGACCCTTAGTGTATCATCTGTGTTCAGAAAGCAAAATTGGACGCACAGAATGTGCGTTACATTACATTTCAAGGTTTTTTCGATTACTATAAATCGATTTAACGTACACACTTGTAATGTCATTTGTATAATAGGCACCATATTGCCTAGAGTCTGAAAATACAAAAAACACTCAGCAAAAATCGTAGACATCACAACCCTGCAATTAACTTACAATGTTAAAATAGCCGCACATTTTTGTTAAAAATATATCTCGAAAATCAGAACTCCTCAAGTCTGCGTTGTGTGGCAGTAACACGCAAATAAGATGCCAACGGACGAGTAAACCCAATCTCGTTAACCTAATACCACACATAAAAATTCCTTTTGATAAGTAATGTACCACAACCAAATTCTTACTTCAAGTGCTTAAGTCAAAACAAACACGGTCCTTCGCGGGCACCTTGTACTTTGGAGTGTCTAGATAAAGAAGTAGGAACTAGTTATCACTTGCGACAATCGTAATACGACAGAGTTCGATTTATTATTTACGTAATGTCGTCATGTGACAATTCAAATTGGGTAAAGTCACAGAGGGCATGGCCCTCGTGTAGTTTGAATTTGTTCAGTTTTATTAGTCGTCTGACGTGGTTCTATAAGGTGATGGTCGTTGGCAGGGTTGACATATGAAAATAAGGAGAGAAGTTGACCATACTTGATAAACGATTGCCAAGAGGGGTTTTTTTCGAGATACTTGGAAAGTGAACATCCGAACGCGGCAGACCCTGTGAACTTGCCGCGTGACATTTAAAATTCGTTTTAACCTGATTCATCCTTTGTACTTTTGAACTAATTAACGTGAAAGTGGGTAAACGAATTAATTGCACTCAACTGACGTTATTATTCCACCGCCGGCTTAACAAATTGATAAGAAAAGTGAATAGGCCAATTATCAAACAATTCCTGACTAAATCTACGATATTCCCCTCATCGTTTCCCTTACGGTCTTACTCTGACATGTATGGGTATAGTACTTTTGTCAGTAAGTCGTGTGTGTCTTCACAAGTTCATAATTTTGCATCAACATCTAAAGAAGACATATGTCTAGAAACATTTATTATTATTATACCTACCTATAATCTCTTTTATAGTACCACCGTTTCCTCCATATTCAGCGGGTAATACGTCTTTTGGGATGTATTTGTACATTTCTTCATAGTTTTTATTGTGAACGTGTAACTGTAACGATAATTTTTTTTTAAATGTGTGAATACTTAAACGAAAGAAATAAGATAACTAATTGTCAAATCCAATTCTAAATACATAGGGCGCACTATAAGTTTCCGGAACTGGCCACTTACATAAACAACATTTAAAAAGTAATTACAACATTAGAAAATTGAACTCTTTGGCTGTAAAATACAGTCTGTTTCATCTGACTGTCACTTGTTTTTACTTTGTGGCGTCATTTTAGAAATTGATATTCTACATCACCATGGATTTAACTCGTGAAAATTTTCGTAGTATGATTTTCTGCGTCTTTAGGTGTAATTTAACAGCTCAGCGGAGCTTCGCTCGGCTTCACACTGCTTTGAGCGATGAAGCACCATGCAAGACGAATATTTATAGCTGACTGGCAGAATTCAAACGCGATCGTGTGTATCTCAGTGACGAATTTCGACATGGTCGCCCGTCCACTGCTGTGAACAACAAAAGCATCGATGCTGTGCACCGTATGATCAAAACGGACAGGCATGTCGCATCATGACATACCATGAGATTCGGGCATCTTTAGGCATAAGCATGAGTCAAATACAATCAATACTACACAAACGTTTGGGTGTGAAAAAGCTGTGCTCTCGGTGAATCCCACACAATCTGACTGAGGCTCAAATAACGGATCGCGTCACTTGGTGCAATGCCATACTTACCAGATTCAACGAAGGGGCGTCAAATTTGGTGTGGGATATAGTAACCGGTGACGAAATATGGATTTATAGTTACGATCCCAAAACAAAGCAGCAATCGAGGGTATGGGTCTTTCAAGATGAGCCGAAACCAACCAAAGTGGCGCGCGTGAAAAATGCCTCTAAGCGGATGATTGCTTCTTTTTTTAATAAAACTGGACACGTGGCTACTGTTGCTTTGGAGAATCGTTGTACCGTGAATAATGATTGGTACACGTCCATTTGTTTATCGGAAGTTATTGACAAACTCAGTAAATATAACCGTAAACGCCGTATCATCTTGCACCACGATAATGCCAGTTCTCACACGGCCAGACAGACAAATGAATTTTTGAAGATGAACAACGTTAACCTTATGAGCCATTTCACATACATTCCCGACCTAGGACCTTATGACTTTTATTTATTTCCAAAAATTAAGAACCAGTTACGCGGTCAACGATCTTCATCACCTGAAGAGGCTGTCGAAGAGTATGAAAAATATGTTTTAAAAATTGTCACGGAGGAGTGGCATAAATGTTTTCAAAATTGGTTCATTCGTATGAAAAAGTGCATTAACGCTAACGGAGAATATTTTGAGAAACAATAAATTAATTTCTAACCATGTATATATTTTTTTTCTTATTCATTCCGAAAACTTATAGTGCACCTCCCGTATAACTTTGGGGTGCACGAAAGGAGACTCCCTGCACGACGTACCGTAACCTTTGCAAGCATGACAATGTATGCTATTGGTTCGATAAGAAGAAGAATAACTATTTTTTAATGTCTAAATGACCGAATGGAAAAATTCCCAAAGTTCCTTGGAAAAAAGTAAAAAATACAATTTACGAGAGAAACGAAATATAATCTGCAGCTAAGTAGACAACTTACTCTACTCTGGTTTTTTTTACTTATGAGAGCTTTGAATGCATTGAAAAAGGTTTCGAATCCTGCAGGTGTATTCAAGTAATGGGTGCCTTTCTCTCGGAATGGCAGCGCGTCCTGTAAATAAAAAAGTCCTGCTAGAATTATTTACAACAAAGTTGTTCTACTTAAAACGATGAAGTACTTTCAAAAAGTGATGTTGACTACGTTTTGAGAGATGTTTTATATATTTTTTCATATTTCACGTTAATTCTTCTATCGAACGAAGATGTTTCTTTTATTAAAAAGAATATTCTTCAATCTCCACCAAACCGTGTTGTTAAAGTGGAGGTACATGATTGGTGTTTATATGTATTTACTAACCTGTGTAGTGACAACCATTTTCTTAATGACTGAAGGTGTCATCTGCATCAAGTGCCCAATAGTCGCTCCGTCCAAATCGAGAATAATTTGTGTACCTGTTATAATGGCATTGTCGTTCTCCATCATCACTATCTATAAAACAAAAGACGCTTGAAAGAAGTGGGATCACACATTATATTTAATAATATTTTGCACCGTATTGACTTATGTGGAGTAGCTTACAGTTTTACGCTGACAGTTTCTGCTTACATCACATCACAAGTGTTAGGCTCAACTCATACTGGCGCAGAGTCGAAGCGTCGCGTCGCGTCCTGTTTTCCAAGTACAACTCTTGGCGCCGCGCGTCGACGTGAGTCGTCGCAAAATTGGTAACTCTTGTAACTACTCACTTTTTCAATAACATGGGATAGAGAAACAGTTTCTGTGATGGAATATTTGTCAGGATCGTAGGCTCCAGGTCGAATTAGTATCACTTGTGGTGTGTAGGACGATGCTGCGTCCAATTTGAAATTTGGCAGAACGAGAAAAACTCTGAAAGTAGAAACAGGCACTAGTAATTAGACGAGTTACTAGTATTATCACTGCAGATAGTGCATCTTTTTACTACTGACACATATTTTCTATGACATTTGCTTGAAGCCAGTCATAAACAGATTCAAAACTTTGTCTTTTTTAATACCAGTGCGTTTTAGCATTTACCTGTTGAGTATTTTCCAGCCAGTGTATTCTCAAAGTCTGCTTACCCCAGTTCCAGGATTTCATTAAATTTCGGATCTGTATGTTTGATCCTATAGAAATCAGGCGCTGCGCTTCTACAGGAATAATACAGGTCGATCTTTTCCTTGGTCCTCTCCAGACTGAACTTGCAACCACGTAGAAATGCTAATAGCCATTGGTCGTCTGAAAGAGTAGACTAAGGCTCAACTCAAACTGGCGCAGGGTCGAAGCGTCGCGTCGTGTCCTGTTTTTCAACTACAACGCTTAGAAACGCTCGCATTAGTGCGCCCAGGTCACAGTGTGGTCGGCGTCTGACGCCTCATTGCGCAGTGAGACGTCAGAAGTGACATACGGCGACGCTCGTTTCCATATTTGCATAACACAAATTTGTACCTTAATAATGGGAAAATGGAGATGAATAAGCTGTACGCGAAAAGCATGACGCGTCGCGACGCTTTGACTCTGCGCCAGTGTGAGTTGAGCCTAAAGTTTACATGTTTGATATACCTTTATATGTCAAACATGCACGCACAATGCGTATATAAGATACTTGTTTTGGTACACGTAATTGTGTTGTGAATTTATTATAAAGATCGCATATCAGTCTCTTCATCTTCTTGCTGTCTTTTCTGACGGTCTATTTCTTCAATCCAAATTCAAAATAAAGTACGAATTTTCGTTGTTTGACCCAATAAGTCAGATACAAACCGCGAAAAACTTTAACCGCTTTACTGTTTTCTAAAAACCAAGCTTCAGATCTATTCGCATTTTATGGAAATTGACTGTTATTATTAGTTGTTAACCTATTTTAATCTAAAGTTTATTTTTATTACAATATTTTGAATTTCTTTCTCATCGGTTGGCAGATTATATTACAAAGTAAGTATGTATTTAAATTATCGTATATTTTCTTGATTGATAACATGTGAGTGTCGGTATCAGAACATAGTAACTATACTAATAAAACTAATCAGTAATCAGTTAAAAATTTATCATACGAAGTAAGATACGACGGCGACGTTAAGTTGGGAAATGACGTTTTAGCAGATTAAGTTTTATTTTATTTTAATCATTTATTAGTCACACCACCAGTTACTACAATATTTCATGCATTATTACATTTCGAAAACGTAGCTAATAGCGTAACTAATCATAGTTGAGCACCACATGCAATAAAAAAGTATAACAAAACAGTCATTTAGAAAATGAAAATGAAATTGAAACAAAAACAATTTTAGTAGCAGTAGAGAAGTACTTCCACCTTATTTATTTCTGCCGCCAAGCATTAGTTTGAGCATTTCTACGTTCCAGTTTTAAGGTGTAAGGGTGCTGATGAAATTACAGGCACATGGGACTTGTCAACTTATGTCTCAGGGCGCAATCTCAACGGGCGCATTGGTAGTGCTCTGAAAGGCTCTGCAACTGTTATGGATAGGCGTATCGCTTACCACCAACAAGTCGTGCGACTGGTTCTTTCCATTACATGGAATTATTAAAAAAAAAATTTAAGACCAAAAATGGAATGACTAAGCAAGAAAGTTTTTTATAAGTAGAACGCACAACACGATTCAGACACTAAATAATAAACAATGTTATGTTCACAAGTATATTAATAAGAATATGATCAAAATAAGAGACTTCAGAAACAATGTTACACATTTCAAGAGTGAACTCATTTACGACCATGTAAAAATTTCTATTATTCAGGTAAAATACAAGCCATTGCAACATAGAACCATCAAACCCATACGTTACTAACTTCTCGACAGGAATACTGTACGAAACTTTATCAAAAGCCCTGCTGAAATCGGTGTAAATGACGCCAACTTGCGCATTCGAGTCTATAGCATCGATAACAGCCTCTACAAAGGTCGCCAAGTTAGTAGAAGTTGATCGACCTTTAGTGAAACCATAATAATAATAATAATTCTTTATTGCTCAAATAAATGACATTGAAAATTACAAGTTGCAAAGGATATATACAAAGTTGGTGATCAGTCAAATATTGCTTAAAGGAATTTTAAATGTATGGACTAACAAGTGCTTCCAAAAGCTTAGCGAACACCGACAGAAAAGAGATTGGTCTTTAATTTCCCACTAGTTCATAATACCCTGATTTATGACTTGGAACTACCATATTTTTTTATTATGAAAATTAACGCGGTTATCACACATTATAATATAAAAGTAACGGGACTTACTCGCGTAGTATTTTAGTCGGAATCGGTCCGACTAGTTTCAACCATAATCGAAGGTCTTCATCAGGGGTTGAGTGCAACAGTCGCAACCGCGAAATAGGTAACGGTTGGCGACCGTAGGTGAATTCGCGCGGCCTCCAGCAATGCAAAGTGGGTGGTTGTGTTTATGCAATTTGTAGATTTTACATGCAATTAATATAATAGTCCAAATAAGATTACCTCTGTGATCCAACGGTTTGAGCACCGCATGAGAAGGAACCGAACCCGTAACGGTTCCCGGTAGAACCAATTTGGGGAAATGAACTTTTCTAAAGTGGTTTTGGCTGAGGTGTTCTCGGTAGAGCCGCGGAGTGAATTCCGTAGATCTCGGTTCCGGGTACGATTCCCGGTAGAACCAATTTAAAAAATAAACTATTCTAAAACGGTTTTGGCTTAGGTGCTTTGGGTAGTGCTTCAGAGTGAATTCCGTAGCTCTTGGTCCCGGGTTGGACTCTCGGTGGAACTAATTTGGGAAATGAACTTTGCTGAAGTGGTTTTGGCCTAGATATTCTGGCAATGCCCCTGGTTGGATTCCATGTTCTGGTGCTCATAAGGAGTACAGAGAGTTCCATTGTTTGAGACCAGCATACGTAGCATGGCGGTATATATAGGTTTATTGCGGCGTCATGCTACAGGCTCTAGTGGTTGTCTGACAACAGATCAGGAAAAAGCTCATCCACTTTTTTTTAATTTAGTTCATCAAGTTAACCCACTTAGGTTAAATAAAACCACTTTAGATAAGTTCATTTCCCAAAATGGTTGTACGGGGAATCGAACCCGGAAGCAAGAGCTACGGAATTCACTTCGCGGCACTACCCAGAACACCTAGACCAAAACCGCTTTAGCAAAGTTCATTTTCGAAATTGGTTCTACCGGGAGTCGAACCCGGAACATAAGACTACGAAGTTCGCTCCGCGGCACTACCCAAAATACCCAGGCGGCCAAAAACACTTCAGAAAAAGTTCGTTTTCAAAATTGGTTCTACCGGGAGCTGAACCCGGAACCAAAACCTGCGGAATTCACTTCGCGGCACTACCCAGAACACCCAGGCCAAAACCACTTTAGAAAAGTTCATTTTCAAATTGGTTCTACCAGGAGTCAAACCCGGAACCAAGAGCTACAAAGTTCGCTCCGCGACACTACCCAGAACACCTAGGCCAAAAACACTTTAGAAAAGTACATTTTCGAAATTGGTTCTACCGGTAATGAAACCCGGGACTTTCTCATCCATGCAATATTATTTGCATATATAATCTACAAATTGCTTAAACACGACCACAGTAGAGGCGGCAGCAAGCCGCCGCGGTCTCCCGTCGTGTGTCCCGCGGTGCGTCGAGCTGCGCCAGGCGCACTTTATAATATGCATTATAATATAGAACATATTATCTACTGAATAAAGTATATATTGCTTCTATCAAAAGAGAAAAGCCGCGCTGCGTCGGCGACGGTAGGCGACCGTTGGCGGCGCAGCGCGACGCAGCGCTGCTTTTTGCTATGCTTTCAAAGAAATATCGACTTTGTTTAGTAAACATGAAATTCTTTACTATATTGCATCTACAACGCAATATGCCTTTCAAAGAAATATACCATATTGTTTAGGAGCTAAGTTACACTTTGCAATCCTGAAGGCGGAACAAGTCACCGACGGTTAGCGACGTCGCCAACCGCAACCTACCGTAGGCGACGCAGCTCGGCTTTTCTCTTTTGTTTGAAGAAATGTATACTTTATTTAGTGGAGAATATGTTCTCTCTGCAGCGCGCCGTCGCTTACTGCATCTTCGTCTTCATGTTTGTTTAATGAAAAGTTGCCTTATTTTGATGAGTATAAAGTTTATCTTGCATTACTCGCTTGAATGCAGCCCGCGCCGCGTCGCGTAGCGTCTCCGCGATGTGAATCAAGCCTTATACCTTGTTGTTGAGAACATAAGCTAAGTGACATTTTGCATTGCCTTTGGCGGCAAAAGCTGGCGACGGAAGGCAGCGTCGCGCTGCGCCGCGCTACATCGCGCGAAGTCGCCTACGGTCGCTTACCGTCGGCGACCTATTTTTTGTTGTTCGAAGAAATGTATACTTTATTCATTAGACATGAAATTCTATACTGTATTGCACCTACTACGCAGTATGCCTTTCAAAGACACTGTTTTTGACACGCGCTTAGAACACGATTACTAGTGATTTTGGAGTTATATCTAATGACACGATCTACATAGGCCTAAGTATATTACGAGTACACATGTATCTTTACGTACAATAATTTGTAGATTTTTTTTTATCGAAAGAAAAGATTTGGTGCACCACAGTTTACAAATAACCGAACAAATAGGTTTGGATATTTTATTATTAAATTTATTATTGTATTAACTACAATTTATATATGCCTACAGTATACGATATTTACAAAGCAAGTATAAATTACCTTGTTTAGTATTCGTTGGATATTAAACATACACTTCTTTGTACTTTAGACAAAATCTTTAAAGCCGTTGTTGGTTGTGCTCTATGAGATATACTTATTATGAAAGTACTTTGGTGGTTTGATAAGTATACTAGTCTGGTATGCTTTTATGCAGGTACACATAATGTTGTGCGACTGGGCCTTGTCGTAAATCCATCCTGCGTTGCTTTTTCCTTGTAGTAGTATACCCGTACCTAAGAATCTAAATTTTAGTATACAATAAAACTCACCGGTTCTAGCGCGTAGGTGCGGTTGCTTAGCAATCCAGTCTTTCAGACTTTGCAAGTCATTCTTCAATCTGTTCGGATCTTCGTTTAATTCATTTTTAGCTTTTTCTGCTAGTATCGGTGGTACCGGACGAACAGTCATTATTTCACAGTATATAGCAAAATAATAAGTGAGAAAAATATTTTTTTATATAATAACGTCACACGTAAACGTTCTATAAAATGAATTGGCTGCTAGCGATTATCGTAACTATGCGCTATGGGATGATACCGAGAAGCTATTATCGATTAGGTATCAATACTGGCGACAAGATAAAGGGAGCATTTTATATAATATTAATTTAATATACATCATACAACTTACACAATTAATATAATACAACGCTTCACAGATTTGTCCTTCTTAAACTAACTTTAAAAGTAAAAGAAACACCAGAGATGCCGCCGGCCACCGATCATTTTTCGTGTGGTGAAAATTTATTTGTGAATTGATTTTAAAGATTCTTTTTTTTGTTGGCTAGTACCTCAGTATCGGTCCCATTTAAATTTGAAGAAAATATTCCACCTCTAAGGATGGCAAACTAGGGAATAAATCTGGTTTCGTGCACTTCCGGTAACCGATTTCAATAAAACTTGGCAAATATATGTAATTACACGAACTTTTAAGGTCGGTTTTTTAAGATTTTGGCGCGTATCTAGTTTGTACATTACACGGTTGACCATAAAGTTCATTATGCTATATTCAATATCGTTACAAAAATTCGCTTTCATTCCGTTCCGCCGCAATATAAATACTTATATGGACATAGAGCTTTTTCTGACCGATTTAATGCAGTTCCACGTCGATAAGTGCGGTGACTCCAGCACGATCGAAACGTAACCGTCATAGGCCGCCTAGGCAGCTCTCCAAAGACAGTTTGTATTCTACGTCGAGTAAGGGCAAATCTGTTTAGTCCCCTACAAATCAGTTCTACCGCCAAGCAGTAATGTCAGCATTACTGTGTTCCGATTTTGAAGGGTAAGAGTGCTGGTGAAATTACAGGCACATGAAACATGTCAACTTATGTCTCAGGGTGACCGGCGCAGTGGCATTGCCCGTCAGATCTTTTATTACTATAAGTAAAGTAAGTAAGTATTAGATAGATAGATAGATAGATATACACTTTATTGCTCACATACAATAACAAAAACAGTACATAGACAACTTAAAACTAATGTGGACAAAGGCGGTCTTATCGCTAAGAGCGATCTCTTCCAGACAACCTTTGAGGTATAGGAAAGCTAATCTAAGGAGAAGAGGTAGTGTGCCAAAGTCAGAAACGTATAAGGTAGTATAATATATATATGTATCGAATAATAAATAAATAAATAACGGTGTACTAGACTTACATATATATTTGTAAATAATAAAGAAATATATATACCTAAATAACGCACACACTCAACACACACTCAACATAGCCCCGCACTAGGGAAAACCCTGTGTCGCGGGTGCCATGGACACACACATAGACAACCACACCACCACACCAACAGCTTTACAAAAAATTAAAAAACATCAACAAATACATTACAGCCAATTAAAGGTTTTCGCTTATAATAACATAATAACTAAACAATGAGCACTTAGAAAGTAGTCACAACAAATAAACTTAATATATACTTATATATATATCTACATATATGTACATACACACATACACACATATATACATATGCATGCATGTACGCAATGCAAACCACATATATCCCAATACCTGTGCCACGAAATGATCACCCGTTAAACAAACGCGTCCACAAGTTTACGCTTTAATGAGTTCGAATTAGAATTGAAAATGTCAATATCAAGTCCAATCCTGCTCAACACATCGTTTAAATTCTTGCAAGCCCTATACAGAAAACTGTTTTGTCTATATTTAGTCCTCGCCAGCGGAACCGCAACAGGACGATAGTATCTCATGGAACGCGTAGGTATATTAAACACAATACTACTCAGTAATTCGGGACAGTCGACATCACCATTTATGATGTTAAACAAATACACTAAATCAGCAATATTCCGGCGAGTAATAAGAGGCAATATGTGTTGATCCTTACAAAGACGTAGATATTCGATTGAATTAAAAGACTTGCCCATTTTATAACACAAGATTTTCATAAATTTTTTCTGGACTCATTCAACTCTGTCTACATAAATTTGATAACATGGATTCCAAATTTGGGAGGCATATTCCAATTTACTACGTACATACGCACAATACAATATTCGGAAAGTTTTAGGTCTTGAGAAACTGACTGAATTCCGTATTATGAATCCAAGTGACTTAATAGCTTGAGAAACAATAGCATCTATATGAGTATCAAAAATTAGCTTAGAATCATGAATGACCCCTAGATCTTTCATCATTATCTTATGTTGAAGATTAATGTTTCTCAAGCTATACGAGGTACATATATTATCAAACTTACGCGAAAAAGTCATTGAGAAACATTTAGAGGGGTTAAGGTCCAGCTTATTGCTAACACAGTAGTCATCAAGACGAGATAAATCAGATTGAAGAGCAGTAGCGTCATCAACTGAAGAAATCTTGGCATATATTTTCATATCATCTGCGAAGCTCAGCAGATTAGAGAAGCGAAAGCTTTCAGAAGATTTCAGAAGATAGTTACGCAATGCAGTTTTAAAAATAAGAAGCGACTTGGAATGTCGTATTTCAGACGGAAGTTCATTCCACAATTGTGCAGCCATAATCGTAAAGGAGTTCATGTAGTATCTTGACCGGGTGAAGGGAGGCTTCAGCAAGTTATCCGCCTTGGACCTTAATTCGCGATTGTGATCTTCACCGAGAAAACGAAAACGTTCCTTAAGGTAAGGTGGGCTTCGAGGGTCATACAGTACATTATAAAGGAAACTGAGAACGTGCTCCTCACGGCGCTGCTTGATAGAAAGCCACTGAAGCCTTCTCCTATACTCAGACACATGATCGAACTTGCGCAACCCGTATATGAATCTGATGCAAAGATTCTGCAGACGTTGGAGCTTGCCTAATAGATCATCATTGAGGTCAATAACACAGACATCAGCATAATCCATAATAGGTAGGAGCAGCGATTGCGCGAGTTCAATCTTGGTCTTCACAGGAATCAGATTTTTCCACCGTCGCAATGAACCGGAGGCAGCAAACACCTTTCTACTAACCTCAGCGATATGTGGCGCCCAAGACAGGGTGGAGTCAAAGAGAACGCCAAGGTTTTTGACAACACGGCTGAAAGGTAAAGGGAAGGAGTCAAAGACGAGCGAGGGAACAGACGTATAATTTATCTTAGCTATCTGCTTCGAGCCACCAATGACGATGGCTTGCGACGTGTTGGGATTGACTGTAAGGCCATGGGTTCGACTCCAATTGTGTATTGTCGCAAGGTCGTCATTAAGTTCAGCAATTAAACTATCTAAACCATGCACAGGAGACCGGGAATAGATCTGAAGATCGTCAGCATACAAATGATACTGACAAGAAAGCAAGGGAGTAAGGGAGTTAATAAATATTGAAAAAAGAAGAGGAGAGAGGACGCCACCCTGAGGCACACCAGCAGTAACATCACAGAAGGTAGAATGCTTGTTATCGATACGTACACATTGCCTTCGCCCAACGAGATAGTGGCGAAACCACTCCACAACCGAATCTGATACCAGGATAGATTTTAACATTGCTAAAAGGATGTCGAAGTCAACAGTGTTGAAGGCGTTGCTGAAGTCTAAAAGAACTAATACTGTCAGATGCTGAGACGACATACCTTCGCGAATGTCGTCAGACACCTTGGTCAAGGCAGACACAGTGCTATGCCCCGAGCGGAAACCAGACTGGAAAGGGCTAAGGATATTATTGAAGTTCATGAAAATTGTGATCTGATTATGGACAAGACGTTCAAGAACTTTGGAAAGGAACGGAAGAATAGAAATAGGACGAAAATGAGAGGGTAGAGATGGATTAGAGGTTTTAGGAACAGGGACTACAGCAGCCTGACGCCAACATGACGGGAAAGTGCCAGTGTCAAGAGAAAAGTTGAAAATATGGCAAAGTATAGGAACCAGAATAGAAGAACCATGTAACATCATCCTACGGTTTATTCCATCCAGTCCTTCAGCATTGGATTTTATGGCCAAGATGTTTTTCTCAACTTCACTTTCGGACACAAGCCTAAAGGAGAAAACCGGATGTTGTGAGTCATGGGCGGTAGAAAGTGACTGTAGCGTAGATTGCTTGATACTAGAAGAAAGAGAGGAAGGCGTTGTGAAATGCGAGTTCAAGGAGTTAAGGTCAAGATTAAAGGGAGTAGGAGATTTTGATTTGCCAATACCAAGGGAATTTAGGAAAGACCATACCTTAGCAGGATCACCATTAGAAACCGAGGCATGTATGTGACGGCGCTGCGCATCCCTGCACACCCTGCTACAGCGGTTGCGAAGTTCCTTAAATCTACGGTGGGTTTCATCTGAAGGATCGTTTCTATACCGCACCTTAGCAAGATTGCGCTTGTTCATCAATGCCCTAATTTCTGCAGTGAGCCAAGGGGCAGGAAGATGTTTCAATCGAACAGGACGGAGTGGAGCATGTATATCATATAGCTGTATTAGTATAGAGTTGAAAATTTCCATCTTCTGATCTATAGTAGGGGCTCTAAGTACAGCGTCCCAATCAATACCGTTAAGGTCAAGCATAAATCTTTCCTCATCAAAGTTCCTGAAACTGCGCTGCATGACCACTCGTGGTTTAGGCTTAGGACAACGGATTCTGTACGAAAGGTAAATAAGGTCATGATAGGAGAAGGCCTCGGCCGGAAGTTGACCGTGAGCAGTTACATGATTAGTAGAAGAGACAATGGCAAGGTCCAACAAAGATGGCTGGCAGTCAGGAAAGTGATGTGTTGAGGAAGACGGAAGAATGTTCAGATTAATAGAATCCACGATTGAGCGAAGTCGAGTAGAACGGGAGTCGTGTTTGAACAGACAGGTGTTAAAATCACCCATAATAACTGTATGATCAACCGTGGGTACCAAATCTTCCAACAAAGTCTCAAATTTACTGAAATAATCAATATGTAGGTTTGGACCATAAAAAACTCCCAAAAGGAGCTTCTGATGGCCCAAAAGCACCTCCACAAAAAGATGTTCCGAAGAT